TGGGCGCGGGAATGTATTTCACGGGCGCGGGTTTGGGCAAAGCTGATTTCGCGGGAGCGTTTCTCGCGGGAGTTTTGGGTGCCTTAGCGCAGCCTCTGTAACTAACCGGGTAGCCGGTGGAGTGGCCGGTTTCCGCAGTCCGGTGGATCTGCGCAATCTTTCGGTCACTGGTGCATTTGAGGTTGGTTGCACCTAGGGTGAGCGAAGCAATTATTAGCCGTGTGGCCGTAATGCTGGCAGTTGTGGCACTGCACGACTGATTGCCTGATTTTCGTGGGAGCTCGATGACTAGGTCGCTGAGCCCACAGACCCTCTTCAGGTTGAAGATAGCCTTACCTTCCGGGGTAGGGTCAAGTTCAACCATGACCATGTCCATAGGGACACGGGTTCGTGGGTGCCTGAGGCAACGAACTGCATATACCGGGTATCCCTGTGTGCGAATGTCGATCTTAGTCTTATCGACATCAGACTCTTTGAGGACGCCCTTTATTACTACCCGAAGTTTTCGTTCTTCGGGCAACGAGTAGGCATGGTAACCTACCTTATTTTCGCGTAAGTACTCAGTTACGCGGCGGTAGTCGTCCGTTGTATCTAGGTATAGGAGGATACCCATGTGTGTATTCTTCGACCGGGAGTCGTGGATGTTGTGGCGTTCGAACCACGAGCATACTTAATGCCGTAAAAATGATCCTATGTTTTGTGAGTATACACAAAACTTTTTTTTTGAGTGAACAAACAAAGCTTTAATGTTGCACAGAATTAATCTTGAATACTTTCAAAAACACCATACAAATTAGTCAGGTAGTTGGATAACTGTGATAACTGTTTGCGACTGCACTGCTTTAATCTTAGAACTCCCAATGGGAGATCCGTTTGAGTTAACCGATTGAGACGAAACAAAGCCTAAATGTTGCCCCAAGGTGCGGTTGCGTAAGTAAACAGTGAAAACTGCATCAAAATCCGATACGTAGTTTCCGAGTTTATCGCGCACAGACACACAAAAATTCCAATAGATAATTTTTTTATGTTTCCTATAACTCTTTTTATAATACCCTATTCCATTTTTTCATAAATATATTCAATGTACAGACACGCCGGTTCTACTCTTTTATTATAATATAGATGATACGGAACCCTTCGTGTGCGAGTCCGACTCGCACTTGCCCGGTATTTTATAAAAGTAAAGATTGTCCTTATTCTTTAGATGTCTTCATTTAAGAATTACTTTAATATCCGGAAATACTAATATTTTCATAAACATTGCCTAGTACTCGTAGTAGTCGGTATCTCTCGGATATCTGATATCCTCTATTAGGATAAGAATTGAACATCTGTTTAATAAGCGCTAAGCACGCAGGCAATAATGGCAATCTTGGTATTACTTACATTACGCTTATAATCTAGCTATTCGTTAGAATATAATATTATAGTATGTGTTAATTATATTATAATTCAGTATTTATAGTAAAAATAGTGCCTTGTTGAGTACCGCTCAAACTCTCAGCTTTACGTAAATAGATGGATAGAGAATACGTACATTCGAGTTGCGCTCGCATAATATTGCATCATTATCTTTTCAACAGCTAGTTGTCCATACATGATTTGATATTACACAATCCTTATTATATATTAATAACAATGGCGCTTTGATGCAAATGATGACAAAGTTAGTCAAAGGTAAATGTTTAAAAAAAAAACACAAACATTACTGCTGGCAATCCAAGAAAAGGCGCGTTCAACCCAAAACAGACTTAAAGCGGCATCAAAGGCCACGTGTGCGTACAACGCCAGCGTCACGTACATGTACCGGTCTTTCTACGAATCCATACGCTCGGGAACGACTCACACCGTAACGAAGCAAGGACTCTGTGACTCATATCCGCGTGACGTACAAATCGCGTCGCCGATAGTGACCCACCTACAGTAATATCGTAAGTGTGGTGCAATTATAGGAACGCATAACATGTACATACAATACTTACTTTACTGATGAAATAGTACTTATTATTTATTACATTCAATTACGAAGGCGCTGATGGTTTACCTACTTTCCTTGCAAATCGCACCAAATGGACATCAGCAAGGCCCGTGGGGTGCAGATGCGTTGATACCAGACGAAACGCAGAAGTATAATAATTCTACTCTTCGGTTATACGGTTTCCATGGTAATCCATTCCAGACCAGCGTTTTTACCACCAATTTTACCACAGTGAATTTTTATTTAAGGATAGGTACCCCATTTTATTTTTATAACGTCATTTTCAATAAACTATTATTTTTTTCTGCAATCATGTATTTAAGTCGATCTTGACCTAAATACATGATTGGTTTACTTGGTTCGTAGCTGCAAATATTAGCTTTTTGTATTATTTACCTTGGTCAAAGTGCTTTATATGGTTTAAAACTGCAACTGGATTGGTGTAAAATTTAAAAGAATTAAGTACCTACCTGATCAGTAGGCGCAAAATACTGTGCGCACTGTTGAGAATTCTATCGAATAATAGATACTTACACATTCATTTAGGGATCAAAAAAGTTGATGGTTCCAATCAAAAATTTTATCAGATAAAAATATAGGTACTTCATCATAGTTTTTCGATCTCTTTTCGATATAATTTAAAATTATCTTGGGTTTTGTTTTATAGTAATTAGAGCCAAAGGTCATAATACTTATTAGGGTGACAAGGATTCTATTGAGAGTACTGAGATTACTAATTTGTTTTTAAATTGAGGCAAATGTAACTGGATTATAAAAATGGATGGAGTACCTAATCGTCAACGTTTAGTCCTGTATCAAATGAAAATAGATTCTCTATTATATAGCGTATTATCATGATATTAAAGTGTACTTTTCAACGATCAAACATTTGAATTCGGGCATGCGCGATGGCGATGTTTCCAAAACGAATTGTTGAAGGTCACCTTGAGAGACGGACAACCGTGGCAAAGGCACATAGACTCGAAGCGACAACTGACATTCCGTACGTGATCTGCTGCACGAATTTTTAAAAGGTTTCTGTAAGTAAACAGATATTATATTTTTTCAATTTTCTTAACATATTTTAACAAAACAAGAGGGTTACTACCTCTTGTAACCATAAAAGTTGTTTGCAGTTTATTCCATTTTGTAATTTGAATTAACTTTGTATAAGTACAAATCTAAGTTTACTTACAACGTATTTTTTTATTAAACTTTTTTTTATAATAGAATAAGTCGTATCTTCAGTTCACGAGCTTTTCGGCCAATGTGGTTGATACACAAAACTTTAAATCGAGCCCGATAGTGACAATAAGTACCTACCGTTTCTTTAACGCTTTTTAGTTCGATTCAAATTTATCGCTTTCTAAAAATGCTATCAGAAAGTAATTGGGTGGTTTTTTCAATCACAAATTTGTATGATGTGTAAACTCGAGATAGGAGGTTAACATTTGCAACAAAATATATGCTTACCCTACAACATAAATGTTTTAGTATGATTCGTATTTGTAGTTGTTTTTTTCTGACAATAATTTGATAATTCAAAATTAATTAATGTAAATTAAAATAAAAAATAGAATGCTTGCACCGGATGAATTTTTAAATGATTTTAAATTTTAATGACCGACTACAGATCCTAAGCTTCTACGATTACTGTGTGTGTCGTATCAGCATTATTAAAGAGCTGGTAATAGGATTCAGTGCTTCCCTGTAGGCATGGGCGTTATAGACTTTATTCCATTATATATCCGATATTTAGTTAATATAGATATTAAAAGTCGTTTTCAAATATCGATATAAAATTCCATGTCATAATGGTACGCAACCCTTCGTGCGCCATTCCGACACGCAATTGGCCTGGTTTTTGTTATTATAATGAAAAGGAAATAACTACTAAATACATGAGCTCAAGAAGCGAGGAAAGTGATATTCATGCTTTGATGTATATATATATATATATAATGAGTTCTGTAAGTGGTTTAAACCTGACAAAAAGAATCCCTATAAAGCCTGAGTGAATCAATTATCTCATCAGGCGATAGAAGTGATAGATGTATAACGGCGTAAAAAATTTATGCTGTTACCCTCAAAATCGGATTTTTACACCACAGTCAAAAACATCTATAAATACTAAAAAAATATTATTTCCAAATTATAAATCGTAGGCATATACATGTTAAAACATTTGCTACGTTCTTAAACCCAGCTTGTAAGATTAAATCTTATTTGTTTATTACTCACTACCCTTTTTGCTTTTTATTTTACAATATTGCCGCAATATTTAATTTAAAATCGAGAAAATAACGCCGATTTTATCAATAATGTTTATAGTGCTTCTGTCCAGTTACATTAAATAAGCATTATTTCAGCATATTAGGTATTACTTATAAGAGTTTATTACTTACGATGAATAGTGCAATCTACCCTAGTCATTACCATCATATTCAGTGCCATGGTTAAGTAAATACATGACTACTAATTTATAAACACCAAAAGAGGGGTTTGTCGATAGATTAATATTATATAAAGACCTAATAGTAGTAAATAAATATTTGCATTACTGTAATGGTGTCTCAATTGTCACATTTGTAACAAAATGTTTCGCTTAACGTTATGAACATAAGCTCCTATTATTAAATGAAATAAAATGGGAGAAATGTTTGATTATAATCCGTTGATTGTCTTACTTAATTCGGTTTGGATGAATTGATGATTTGCGGTCTTGGCGCGTGGCGCTTGTTGTAGTATGATCGCATTTCGCTACATCTACAACAACAACCGGTTCGTTTCATTCCCATCCCATTCCAACATTCGTTCTCGAATCTCGCTCGCTCTCATTCTTTAAATCGGTATATCTACAAAGTTTACTCACGTTCCGTTCAGATTGCGTTTGACGCTGAAATAAGATTGGTGAAAACTCACAGTATTATTAACACTTTTTACGATCATATTCATAATACGAAACAAAAACGTCGCTCGGTATATGACTCGATAACGCTAGTCCTGAACACTTTTGTTGAAGATGTCTGGTAATAACATCGATATCCACTATTCAAATAACGGTTGGTAAGAAATTTATTATTAAAAAAGTGTTGTGACATTTTATTAACTTTAAGTATTGTTTTTTCTTTGTATTTAATATGTATGGATGTCTATTAGTACTTAAAAGTTATTTATTGTTACATCTCTTTGTAATTAACTTAATAAAATGTACTTACATTCTAACGATTAATTCAATAATTTAATTTTTCAAATTGCATCTTAGCAGCTAAGGGTTTATGTTAGTTCTTTAGTTTTTAAAAGATAATGTTATTTCTTTGCATGCTTGACTCTATTTAGAATAAACTCATTTACTATTTTTTTTTCTTTACCCTGAATTTTCTTGCGATTGCAGGACTTGAAACCATATCTAAGTTTCAACTAACGTACTTGCGTATGCGTAGACAACTAACAAATGTTAGAAAAAATCGTCATAAGCACATTTAAATGAAGTTAGTATTGGGTCTAATTTCATCAGGTTTTGTCGAAGTTTATCATATAATATTTAGTTCTTTCCATGATTACTTTATATTTAGTGCCAGTTTAGCAGTTTATTTGCTACTTTGTAGAAAAAGTTGACAATCAAATCACAAAATCAAATTAAGTGCCCCACTTAATCTAATGCGAATTTTAATTTGTGCTATTGTAATATTTTTTAATGAAATGGTTATTGTTAAGAGATGTAAAATGTTCTACATGATAGGTACACTATATATTTATTTCATCTATAGCCTACCTATAAGCCTACTAGCTTTAAATATATTCCTACTTCTTTGGTTTATCATGGTGTACAACCTTTAATAACTCCTCCCAGTTGCAAGCTAATATTTTTGTAAAACCTAGTTTGACTTTTAAATCTAAGACTTTATGAATAAGAATAGTATGTTAAATGTAAATGTATAAGAATACAATATTAATCATACCATTTATTACTTAGCCTTCTATTATAATCTGAATTCTATTATACTTTATTAACATATCTAGAATTTTTATGGGGTTTATTATTGTACTAAAATAGCATTTGACTGTAAGTTTCAATTTAAATTTTAGGTAAATTTAAATTGAAACTTGCAGCCACTGAGAATAATTGCCCATTGTACTTTTGCACTTTTGTTGCACTTATTAATGGATTTTCAGATTGGATTCTAATGTTTTTTTTTTATCGGCTTTGTGGCACTCAGTCAATCATTATGATGTCATATATGTGAACTGTGTCAACATTTTTAAATAGTTTAATTTGACAGTTTTTTAAAATAATTTCTATGAAGGTAATTCAATATAAAGTTTATCTTTTCATTAGGATCCGACACCATGGGTACTGTAGAAAAACTGTTCCAACCTATTCACCAAAAGACCGATGACACTGGTTCCAAGGTAACTGTGGTGGGGGCTGGACAAGTTGGAATGGCAGCAGTGTTCTCCATGCTCACACAGGTAGGTGCTTAAATTGACATTTTTTTACCATCTTTGTTATTATAAGTCTGACCTAACTTGGTGAAAGATGTACCATAAGTAATGTTTTGTCATGTAGGCAGAGAACAATTCAATATTTTAATTTTAGCAATCAATATTTTATTTATTTGCAGTTTTCCTAAATTCATTCAAATTTAATATCATTATTGTTTTAATTTTCTATCACATTGTATTTATGGTCTTTGTCTAGATGCTTTTCTAAAAGTTTTATTCCACTAGGTTAGTTGAAGTGCATATATGGTTTTAAATTTTTTTGGAAATTTTTATCTTATTTTTCCGTAACTTCAAAATTTTTATATATTTTTGGAATACCAAATTATTTCAGGAATTGTATATTCTTTATAGATGAGGTTAATTTTTATTATGTCTATTATACTTGTTAAACATTCTTATTCTGCCTACAGCATCTACCAATTTTTTCTGCACATGAATTTTCTCACTAAGTGACCGCTTGAGAGGGTGTTGGAGTGAAGTCCCTTGACTTGACTTAATCCAACTTTTCAAACCTGTCATGGTTTCCCCTCAATTTTCTCACCTTGATTTCGAGCCAAAAGTTCTGGATATGTGCAAGTTGTCGACTTCTTTTGCAAAGTTCTTAAAATGTACAATAACTGTAAGGATGTGACTTTATTCAGATTGCAACTTATGGCAGCTGTATGATGTTCAAGTGTTTTGGTTGGAGGGACAAGGTAGTTTTTACATACCAAAAAATTTTATTAATAACTGCAATGAGTATTGTCGATAATCTATTAATTCTATGATTGTAAGAAGTGGCTGATAAAACGGTTGTACTCTTTGAAGAGTCGGGTGATCGTTACAAGCTGTTAAAGCTGCATTATGGCGGCCACTCTGTGCTCTAATTAGTTTATTGGCACTATTATCCTTATTGGGTTCTGAAGTTGCATGCCGTCACGTCATAACGTCACGTGCATTTATTAGCGATTTAGGTTAACTCGACTAAAAGAAATTTTTCGCGTTTTTATATCATTTTATTACACGCGCCATCATTTAATGCGGGTCATTGAATTAAACATGTTAATTTTAAATGTAACAAATGCTAAATTAAAATCCGCGGTGGAGAAAATTATTGAACTTCTGCCAAGGGCCTGAAGATTAACATCAAAGTTTTATTGCGTTATATTTTTAACACTTAGTAACGTAACACAGTACGTTAAAGTAAATTTTTCTGTTGCATATAAAATTACCAGGGCACAATTTATCAAAATGACTTTTCACTCGGTTGATGATGATGCTTTGGGGCTAATTGTGCTAATTTTTCCCCGGAATTGTTTTGTACCGAGCTCTTATTAGCATTTATAGCATGGACGAATTTCATTAGCGGAGTCATGGCAGCTATGTACCGGTGCTTCTTTCGGTGTTGCTTTTTGATTTTGTAAAATTCATTCATTCGGATTTCTGTATTTTTTGTTACGCTGCCTTTTTATAAACCTAATGCTTTAAAAATAATTGAAACGTTTTTATATTGACATCTTTGTCCCGCTTTACGGGAGTCGATTAAAATGTATATTTAAGGTACATTTAATTAAATATCTAGTTAGTAATAGTAAAAAAACGATGTAAGCATAAAGCAAAAAAGATCTGTTACATGTGTGAAAGTATTTCTTTTTACTTAATCGGTCTGAAACAATGTGAGCTGAGATACTTCTATTTAATCGGGAGAAATATTCCGCCTGTTTCTATTCGGTATCTGATAAGTTTTCATAACTATCGATAACGATTGTTCTAATTTCGTAACTATGATAGGGGATCACGCCACCAAACCGCATTAGGCGTGAGATTTTAAAGTTTTTGTTTAGATTTAATTAAAATTTGCGAGCATTTCGTACTCTTAGAACGACCAACATTGTAGCAGATTTGAGCTTATTGTAATGGCATGGCACGCATGACGCAAGACTTTGTCCATTGCTGGCAAGTGATTCACGCGTCGCGGAGCGCATCTTTTTTCATGTCGGATTCGAACGTATTTTCCTTACCAATGACGAACACTGAAAATATTGCATTTGCGGTGTTTGCACTTTGCCTGTAACTGTCAATTAGATTTACAATAGTCAATATATTAATATCGTTAATGTAATTTTAAGTAGCATTTGATAGTTTCGCTCTATTTCTTTTTAATTCCCAACAACCAAAGCAATGTAATGTTGGTATGAAGATCTGTCGCGTCATTTTTTATGACAGAACTGTGGTAGGGCCATGCAGCGGCTTCTGCTGTTGCAAGAATGGCCACGCTCGTCCAGGGCAGTACCACCGCCTCACAGAAGACTGGCCTCAAATGGAAGTATAATACTTTCGAGGTGATTGGAGCCCATTTACCTTAATGGTTGGCAACGCATCTGCAATCGCTTGTTCTCTTGCTAACATGTCATTCTTGTGTTTATGCGATAAACTCACACACAGTTGTCAAGTATTGAAATGACAAGCAAATGATCGGTGTACGTTCTGGAAGAAGTAGCTTCCAGTACTAAATTGTCACAATATTTTAATAGGTTTAACGAATTTACCTATACACCAAACCACCATATTTAGTTTTGGTGGTTTGCTGTAAATGATGTCGGATATATTTGTTGATTAGCGTGTTTACCTGGACAGGGCGTCACCAACAACATCGCGCTGGTCGACCTCATGCAAGACAAGCTGAGGGGGGAGATGATGGACCTGCAGCACGGCTGCCAGTTCATGAGCAACGCCAAGGTCCAAGCCAGCACGGGTAATTACCGCTTATCCCGAATAAAATACCATTAAAAAATATATTTCTATGCACTATAAAAAAATATGCGTGCACGGGTGCTTGTTCGATGCAGATTACGCGATAACCGCCGGCTCGAGGGTGTGCGTGGTGACGGCGGGCGTGAGGCAGCGCGAGGGGGAGTCCCGCCTGGACCTGGTGCAGAGGAACACCGACGTGCTCAAGAACATTATCCCGCAGGTGGGCCCTTGTAGCCGCGAACCTAATTCTCCACCATTCTGCTCGCATTCTTATAATACATTACAATATCAGCCTATAGCCGTCCACTGCTGAACGTAAGCAAAGTGCTCCGACCATCCCGGTCCTGGGCGGTCCGCATCCATTCATCCATTTTATTTCTATTCATAGTCAGATTTTGTGTGACCGCTTTGTCTACAGGCCGATTTACACAGGTCAATCCTTTAGTGATAAGTAGATAAGTACGGTGAGTAAGTACAGTGGTGTAAACCTTCGGACGGTGGCGAGTCGTCTTTGCTTGCTATAACTGAAACCGCTTGAATAGAATCGCTTTCTATTTTTTTGGTTAAAGTGCAGCCCTCGTGCGCCGGTTTATTAACCCTCCGCGGGCCACTTGACTCGTAACTTGGCGTAATGTGAACAGTCAAATTGGTACAGCGGCAACAGGCAACAGAATTGCAAGTGTTACTCGTCCGTTTCTAAAGAGAAATACCACTGGATTTGCTGTAGTGTAAACAGCAACTTGTCCGGTGCCCGCCCCTGGCCACTGTACTTGAATGTAAATCGGGCTCTTAAAGAGTACGGGACCGTCCGTTTGCTCTTCCAGTTGGTGAAATACAGTCCGGAGGCGGTCTTCATAATCGCCAGCAACCCGGTGGACATACTGACGTACGTGACGTGGCGCATCAGCGGTCTGCCCAAGCACCGCGTGATCGGCTCCGGCACCAACCTGGACTCGGCCAGGTTCCGCTACCTGCTCTCGGAGAAGCTGGGCATCGCGCCCACCTCCTGCCACGGCTACATCATCGGGGAGCACGGCGACAGTAGCGGTGAGTGGCCGCGTCTCATTAAACTACGCGACTATGCGGGCGTTCTCAGTCAATAGAAATAGGCGCAATAATTGCGCGCGTGTGTGTGTCGAAACTATATTTCCCGTAATTATAGTTAAAAAATCAATTTTGCTCCAAATGTGTGCTTCATAGTGCTTCACATCTGACGCGGTAGATAGATTTGTGCACATCATGTAAGTAACAACTAATTTATATTTTCCTATTAAAGTAGCAGTCTGAATGGACACTGTGAGTTGCGATTAAAATTGCTAATCGACATTAACGTCATTACGTTCCTTTATTTTTAAACTCTATATCAATAAAAATAAAAAATCACGTTCGTATTGCACCCTGGCGAAGGCAATGAACCCGCCAGTTCATGTTTTTCCCCATTGGTATGCACTTTATAATCTGGAATTGAACAGCAGATGGCAGAGTGCCAGCCGGGGCATGAGTAAAAACTCAAATACCTGAAATTAGATATCTGAAAATTAAGTCTCGTTAAGTTTTTTGGACCATATGAAAATTCAAGTCATCGAAGTTTTGATTATTTTTGTCTATTCACGTCCTCAGGTGATCAGACAAAGACAAAAATTATTTGTTCTCAGTATTGTTTTTACTATTTCGTGTCGCCTTCTTTTGTGATAGGTTTGAAGCTCAATTCGCTTAATTATTCAGGACTTTAAGAGAACTTATTAAAGTCCTACTATCTGGTTCCTGTATTCTGTAATTAATATACTATTTATTTATTTATACAATTCAATGAAACAGTTTCATCTTTGGAGCCAACGGAGAACAAAATCGAATAAAGCATTTATATTATGTTTTTGTAATGCCAATATCTGCACTAAGATGAAAGAGGACAACCTAGAGCAGCAATGTACGCCATCGCGCGAACACTTCGATACAGCCCACCTAACGGAGGTGGACCGCGTAATCGAGATTAGGGCTGCGCTTCCACCGGAAGGCGATCCTTTGAATTCAGTGACCTCCGAAGAGGTTCAAGATATTATTAAAAACTTAAAACCCAAATCCGCCCCGGGCCCAGATAATATTAGTAACAAAATTCTTAAAGCTCTCCCTAGGCCGCTTATCTGTTTACTGGCGACCATTTACAATACTTTACTCTCCAGTTGCTCCTTTCCAGACGACTGGAAAGAAGCCAGGGTTATCGGCATTCGCAAGCCTAATTAACCAGCCAACCAGCCCTCTAGCTATCGTCCCATCAGCCTCCTCAGTTGCCTGGGGAAGCTCTAAGAGCGGCTTTTATTAAACAGGCTCAATGAGCACGTGTTTTCCAACGGCCTTCTGTCGGCGGAACAATTCGGCTTTCGAGCTAGACATTCCTGTCCCGATCAACTATTCCGGCTAACGGAACATATCCTAAAAGGCCTAAATCACCCTAAACATATTAGTACAGGGGCTCTTTTCTTCGATGTCGCAAAAGCATTCGATAAGGTCTGGCACAACGGCTTGCTTTACAAGCTGTACACACTCAAAGTGTCAGATAGGGTCGTACACACCATCCAGGCCTTCCTGTCGAACCGCTCTTTTCGATATCGAGTTGAAAGCACCCTCTCCACAAGCCGCCGCCTCACCGCCGGCGTACCACAAGGCTCCTACCTCTCACCTTTGCTCTTTACTCTCTACACGAGTGATATACCTAAAGACCCCCACGTCAATCTCGCGCTTTTCGCGGATGACACGGCGCTCTTTTATTCAGACCGCAACCTTAGACAACTAACCACTCGACTCCAAAGCGCTGCCGACCGCCTCGGCGATTGGTTCTGCAAATGGAGAATAGAAATAAATCCCGAAAAGAGTGTGGCGATTCACTTCACACGAAGTACTTACCCCTCACATCTTTACAATGGCCCTCGTCAATGCAGAAAGTTGGGGCAAATATCCCTTTATGGCCAACCGCTCCCCTGGGAGAAAAAGGTCAAATACTTAGGAGTCACTTTCGACTCGCGTATGTCATTTACTACGCACATTAATAACGTTCGCAATAGAGCCGCGTTCGTCTCCGGCCGGCTACACAACTTAACTAACGCTAAAAGTAAAATGCCCTTAAGGCACAAATTTTTATTATATAAGACCTGCGTACGACCTATTATGTCTTACGCATGCATGACCTTCGCCCACACGCACCCTACTCGCTTGTACAAGTTGCAAATAGTACAAAATAAATTCATCCGCCGCGCAACCGGTGCGCAGTGGTATTAACGCAACGTCGACCTGCACAGCGATTGCAGACTCCCGACGATTCGCGAATATTTTAAAGACCTGACCAAACGGTTCTTCGATAGAGCCGAACATCATCCCAACCCTCTGGTGGTAAGCGCAGCAAATTACCAACCCGACAAAAATGCGAACGTCAACAAGCGTCGCCCGCGAAACGTCCTAATCGACCCGGTCGAGGAAGGGGACTTAGACACGCCGGACCCACTGCCGGGGGTCCCGCCGGACAATACTACACCCACAGTTAGTGCAACAGCAAACACACTAGTTCGCCCTCGCCTCCGAGCACGGCGAGACCAACACAACGCGTACACAGTACACCCGCGTTCCGGGGCGGTTCTCACCGCCCCCAGCCACCGATTAGCTAATTGCACAGTCGACGGCCATCGGGGTTTCGGTCCGAACCACGACCTCGATGGCCCTTAGATGACACACCATAGTTAAACGCACGCATGAGCACATGCGTGGCCCTACCCACAGCGGAGGGCCCAAACCTGTGGGTTCTGGCTAGCCCATCGGTTCTGCGTCAGATGAAGCTTTAATAGTCTCGGGACTGAAAGCAAAAACATCAGTTAATACAAGATACAAGAAGATGAAAGATTAAAATTTGTAGAAAAATGGCCGTAAGCAGACGCTTCTTTTATTGTCCTTTAAAGAACGGTGATAAACGTAATCACTCGTTTATATTTTAATCACGGTTAATTTAAGTAGATCTTTTTAACGGTTTGTAAGGATTTCAATGTAGTGTAATAATATATAGTAATTCAAGTATTTAGTGCAAAATATTTTTCACTCGAAAGTCTGCCCTTTTATAGTTTTTTGAATGGGCAAATTCAAATATCTTTATTAAATACAAAAGCATTACACTTATTGATTGTTACTAACACCGGTTCGGAAAAGACAAACCAACAAACCCGAGAAGAACCGGCGAAAGAAACTCTTTTTTGACAAGAAACCTCTTTACAATGTATTAAAGTCCGCTTGAAAGAGTCTGGAGCGATCAGTTCATTACAAGGGTCCATTATCAATTAAATAATAATAACTAATATTATAAAATCCTTTAACCAACAAAAATTTCTTTATAATTTTTTTGAATTCATTAATTGACATATTGGGAATGTTTCCTGGGAATTTGTATTCTGCGCAGTCTAGTTATAGCATGACATAAATTATAATTATGAATTATACACTGTATGGCTCTAATATTTCACACTATTACACTTAATTTGAGACAGGGCGTACCCATGAGACAAATGTTCTATGAAGTACATGAATTTTCTCAATGGGGAGATGTTAAATCTATATGACCGTTAAAAGGATGACTAAGGCATTTGTGTGCGACCTGTTGCAACAACGTGCTATTGAAGATGTTATTATTTCCAGTGCCGGTGTGGTCGGGCGTGAACATAGCCGGTGTACGCCTAAGTGACCTAAACCCGCAAATCGGCACCGAACATGATACCGAGAGTTGGCGCCAGCTGCACGAGATGGTGGTCAAGAGCGCATACGAGATCATCAGGCTGAAGGGCTACACGTCCTGGGCCATTGGGCTCTCGGTGGCCCAGCTCGTGAGGGCGATCCTCACCAATGCCAACAGCGTACATCCCGTGTCCACTTATCTCAAGGTGTGCCTCCACCTAAACGCTCCCGGATTTCCCACAGCAGCTTTCAGTGAAGGCCCTTCACTGATCCAAGCGATGGGTCCATAGGTCCGCAAGGCATCTCCGTTGAAAGCCATGATAATACGTCCCTCATACAACATGATTAACTATCTAGTTGGGTCATTGAAATCGCCGCTGAACTGAGTATATTTCTAAATTCTTACTCGTAACGAACATCGAGATGTATTTTTCGTGAATTATCCTAGAAAATACAATTTTTATTGCACTTGATGGTTTCCACTATAAAAATAAAAATGCGTAGTATCTAGATATTACAAACAAAAATAACACAATGTCCTATTCTCGGAATCTTTCTGAGAGAAATTAACTTATTTACAGATACTAAAATCAAAAAGGAATTTTAATGATAAATTTATAATTTATGCACGATATAAAATGCAATATAAAAGCCGTGATATCTCAGTGTACCGGCGCTCGCCTTTAATTCAATATACTCGAGCAACCTGAGTTCAATCTTCGGGGCCGGCACCAATGAAATTGTTAATTTCAAGTGCTGAATTATCACGTGCTCAGCGGTGAAGGAAAATATCGTGAGGAAATCTGCATATTTTCGAAATAATAATAAAAAAATATTTCGTAGATATGTGAAGTCCGCAAAAGCAGTTGGGCCGCGTGGTGGACTATGCCCTGATACCCTCTGTACAAAGGAGGCCTTTGCCCAGCAGTGGGATATAAACTTCGATGAAGTGCACAGATTTTACACTACGATTTGATGAAAATTCTAATGATATCGCATTCCGTACACGCAGGGCGAGCACGGGATAAAAGAGGACGTGTTTCTTTCGCTGCCGTGCGTGCTGGGCCACGCCGGCGTCACCGACGTCATCCGCCAACCGCTCACCGCCGACGAGAGGAATCAGCTCCAGAAGTCTGCCCATCTCATGGACAAGATTCAAGCCGGCATCAAGTTCTAGATTCAACCGTGTTCATATATATGTGGCACCACCTACCCTACCCTATACGCTGGTGGGACATGTGTTTCCTAAACTGCCTGCCGTCGTTATCGGTTAAACTGGAAAATTAGTTTCGTATAATGACTATTTCACCGCCGTCTTACTCTTATCTGAACGGTGCGTCAGATAAGATTAAGACAACGGTAAGAATAGGAATGTTGAACACATTTGAGTATTTTTTTGAATTTTGGGTGATTTATATAACAATTTATTATGTCTGCTAGTAAAATATAAAAGAGCTGATTTGAGCTCTTTAACTCGGCATTATCAAATGTAATTGTCATTTTTTTATATGGCAAGTTACAAAAAATAAGATTTATTGTTAATCATTTCGAAGTGGTTTTGTGTTATAAAGCATTTTTTTACAATCGAAGTTTATTTTGACTGATGTGAAATCCAAGCTCTCCGTTAATCCGAATTCATTAAGGAAAACTATCGCTTTTTATAAGGATATATTTAAAAATTCATTCATATATTCTATATTGTCATATTTCATATCCATGTTATTTCTACGATATGCGTGTACGCTTTTGTCTTCTATATGTATTTATTATAATCTTATGTATATATCGTATTTTTAATGTTATTAATTACATCAACAACTTAATTATGTTTGCAAGTTACCTACTTAATAATGCATTTATAAACTTTTAAGATTCTATTCTTCCTATTGGCCACCGGCATTTACCTTTGTCAGTATCTAAATTTAATGTTATAGATACCTATATTAAATTAATATTTATATCATAGAAATGTAATGCCTAAAGTTATTTCGTAATTTAACTTTATATACTTTATTATTTAGTCACGCCTAGGACAAAACATTTTTATACATATTTCTAGTTTTCTACTCTTTTGTACACTACAGTGACTTCAAATGTAATACTTATTAAATTAACTAAAACTTAATCAGAATAAATGATTTTTCTACCTCTTTCAAAGTTTCTACGCCATGTTTGGTTGAAATTACTTTTGACGTGAAAATGAAAAATTTGCACTACAAAACACCGGAATCGCTGGATACTATGGATGCGCCGACCCCATGGTTGGATCTCTAAGATTTATATGACATTACAATTGTGTAAGAGCACAATTTTATGCACCGGAGGGGATGATTTTAAATGAAACTCATAATCTTTCACAAAATCATATAATGGATTTTATATAGTTATGGATATCGTAATTACATCAGTACTAATAATACATTTTGATATTAATTTGACACCGGCAGCTGTGCGTTCTAGGTCCAGCCGGGTGATGGCTTACTTCAAGTAGCGACAGCACCTTGATATATTCAAGTTTGAGAAATTAATTTAAGACTTTCCTGTGTATGAGAACAGCTCGTTTAGTATATATTTTATTGATCGGCAAATATGTCAAAGTGCGGTCTATCGTATATTAATAAAATTACCTTTATGAACATGGTCTTTATTGCTAAGGCGATAAGAACTGACAACCTGGGCACTACAGGCCGGCAGGTGGGCAAAACATCCCTTAATTTTTTTTTGGGATTACATGATTATGTCAAAATGATACATATAAATTGATGTCAGCTAAGACTAGGATAAAAAACTTATTTAATAGAATCAATTTTGATCATTTTAAAGCTTATATTGTTTTGCCAGTATAAACTGAGATAAATGATAATTTAGATGAAAACAAGTGAAATTTGAAATATTTTTTTCTGGTAATTGTAGTTCATTTGATTTTCATAGGTTACCTAAACCATAAATTACAAATCTTTTGTAATTTATGGTTTAGGTAACCTATGAAAATTTTTATACATATTTAATTGGAATAAAAAAAAGCTAAAAGCACTATTAACGCTAATCCTCTTTAAAAAATATTTACGAATTTATTAAAAACCACTACATAATACATGTCCAAGTTTTAAAATTATACTTTCACAATAGGGCGAAGTACAAGTATTTCGCAATTATTTAAAATTTCATTGTCGTCGTGGAAAGAGCCAAGAAAACTTCTCGACAAAAGGAATTCTGGCGGTAACGTACAAAAATTCCACTTTTGATTAAATTCTAAAATAAATGCAATTTGCATTTAACTAACGTATTGTTCCGGAGAAAAAACAAATTAAGGCGGAAGTTGGGAACTTAAAAACTTTGTGATTTTTTTCTTCCAGTTAGCAAGTAACGACCTGTGCATCACAAATATTATATCTAGCTTGGTTAACTAAACTAACTCACAGACTATAATATCTTAAAGCATGCGACGCTCCGCGGCAGTAAAACACGTGGAATTATCATAAACGGTTATATCTAATTAGTTGTATATTGATTTTGGACAAGAGCAAGAGCTGATATTGGAGAAACGATAAAAACTAGACCTATATACACTTTTCACTAACAATTACATACGTTTAAAATAGGAATAAGCATGAAAAACATTACATTAGCATAAATCACAGACATTTCCTCACATCAGCCCCTAGAGGAAGCATACAATTGTGACACAAGCGGACGGCCACCGTGCTGCGGCCACGGCCCGCCCTCAGCGCTCGTCCCCACGTTCCAGTGGTCCAACGGGGTTGCCGTTAGGGTCTGTGCCGGATGCGTTGGGCGCTCACCGCAGGCGCCCGTGCGTAGCGAACCAAACGCAACCGCTATCATCGAGAGGTGGGCACGTTGACTATACGAAGGATTATTTCTCTTTAAAAACTATCATAATCTAAACGAAACGAAACCACGTCGAGCTGTTGAGCGCACGGCAGGAGGCGACGTAAAGCGTTTCCGTTGGGCGTTCGCCGGCGCTTGGTTCGGGCGACGTTGCACGCGGAAATGTCAGATGCGGAGGCGAGCTCTTGAGGTGTTCGCTTCAACTTTCGTTGCGATTGCGTATTGTCAGAATGGAGGGCTGTGGCGCCCCTCGCTCTGGGCGTCGAGCGTCCAGTCAGCGGCGGGCTGTGCCGGCGGCGAGTGTTCCTCGGCCGGCGGGTGGGGGTGGGGGGGAGCGGGCGCGCACGGGGGCGGCTCCCCCTGGGGTTGTCGCGGTCAGGTGTCGTCAGGGGAGCGCAGCGAGTGGAGCGCGTTGCCGTGGCCCGCCGGCCGTCTGCGGTCCAGGAAGGTCTTCAGCTGCGTCGCCGACAGCGGCGTCGCCGGCGCCTGCACCCGAACAGTACGGTGTAGCACAATAATAGTTGCACAGAATACTAGCAATCTAGAAGAGACTCGAGGAGACCATGTTGATTAATTTGATTTGAACGTACAAATGAAAACATGAAAATTTAATATAAATAATTGACTGTGTGCCTTTTCCTTGTATGGTAGTTTTTTCCTTTGTCTTGGTGGACAAATACTTGGAGTTCTATAAGTTGCAGAAACTATAGCGTATTGGTAAGCGCTCGTAGTTAGAGCGCGTCGACTTTAGTTGGAAAGTTAACAACATATTCGATGGTAAATATATAATAGGAGGGAAAAAAAATTGCTGCTTTGCTAAGTCGGTCGAGGCGAATAACGATGGCTAGTTTAACAAAGGCGCATTTATGTGGGCGCGTGCGTGTGCGAATGTGCGGGTACGGGCGCGGTACCTCGTCGAGCCAGGCGTCGCCTAGGGCGGCGCGGGGCGCGAGGCGGTGCGCGGGGGAGGGCGCCAACAGGCCCCGTATGAGGGCCTGCGCCCTCTCGGCCACGCCGCCCCAGTGCTCCGGCGGGAAGCAGTAGTCGCACTTGATGATGTTCGCGGTCGTCTCCTCAATCGAGTCGTCCAGGAACGGCGACAGCTGTATCAGTGTAGGTACATACATCATCATGCAAACCAATATCGAACCTCTGCACCCTAGAACACCGTCAAAATCTTTCCAAATTTTAATCACTGGCTAAGTTCTTTAAAAAATTCTACGCTGAAGCGTTAATGTAATTTTGATCGACTTTTCAACAATACACTGAAAGTGGTTATCATAAATGTGAAAGTCCGGTGAAGAATATTTGCGATGACTTTGTAACGTGTGATTTCATCACTTTGTCTAAATTGTGTCGAAATGAAGTAAACTTTTTTGATTCAACCTTTCGAAAAGGCAAAGGTTCATATGACATGCAGCCTAGTCTTTAGAAAAACAACAATTTAGACAAAGTGATGAAATCACACGTTACAAGTTACGCGAACGTAAATCGAAAACGGTCCGGAGCATAAAATTGGTACCCACCCGTTACCGATTGACGGAGACGTATGTATATAACGGCTGGTTTCAATATTCTATCTACATCTGTAGATAACCAATTATATAGATTTGATTAATAGCGAAAGGTATTTGACATTAGCTCCATAATACTTACGTACTAATACGAAATTCTATCTCTAGTAACAATGTCATATGTGAGAATTTTGAAGCCGACCGTAAAAAATGAAGAAACGAAGAAATATTATCAGTGAAGAAAGGCAAAGGTCTGATCTTTGTTTTTGGGTGACAAGCGCTGGAATGTATTACTAGAGTTATTATTGAAATGTAAATAATTAAGGATAAGTTTTATGGCATTGGCTATTTATGTTATTTTTATTTTAGATAAAATTTTCCACACAACAATCTTCACTGTTATAAATCACACAGTTGATACGCGTTTACAATTGAATGAGTTGCACGATTGATTGATGTGTCGCTGTTAGGCATCGTGGAGGGCGACAAAAGTCAAATGTGTTAATACTTCAATTCACCATGTGCGCTGAGGTACATAGTATGTAATTCGACGAGCGAATATCCGTTCTGATACAAACTTGCAAATGAATCATTCAACAAAGAATCTATCGTATATATATTATGACTTTTTTATGTGAGACGGTGGTAAATGAAAATCGCCACAGCCGAAGGGTTGCAGATTGCTGTAATATTTTAATAATGTCGACCCCGGCTACCTCATTCACCAGAAGGAATGCAGAAGTGGAACAGTTGCACTTCACACCGGTCTTCTGTGAGGTCGTGGTACTTACGTGGTATCTGGCCATTGATGCAACATAGAAGGCTGTTGCGTGGCTCCTTAAGACCACAGTAAAAATAAAAATTTGCCGATTAACATTTAACTATGCGTTTTTAAGTGTCAAAGTAAGCAAGAGTTAGGAATTAAAAATAAAACGGATATATACTTTATTTAAATAAAGTGTTTTTTAGCCAAAGTTTCGTTCCTATTAGGAGCAAGGTCGAGTCCGTAAACCGTTCGTCCATCGTATATATTGAGTGGTGCGAATCGGTGCACGCGCGTCACACGGACGCCCCCCCTCCCCTCTCCGCCCCCCGCAGACCGTCTGGACTGCGGGACGGGGCTGGGCAGGGGGAGGGGTGGAGGGGGAGCGACAGTTATGATAGGATGATTACCGGCTAATGGAATGATGACCGCAATAACAACATGAGTACTATCTGTTTCAGCGTCGGTGCCCGTTTGGCAGAATCAGTGGCGACGGCTCGCGGACTGACGTCCAAGTGCGAGTGAACGCAGCCGTTTATTATCAGACATAACATAAATTACGTATTCGGCGGGCTGTACGCGCGTGATTTGCGCCGATGTCCTTCGGTGGGAGACGTTACTAACACGCAAATTCAATTCGGATTGGCCTGTGAGTATGTATGTTCTGTAATACTCACCCCCCGGTATTGATACTCACCCCCGTAAGGAATACGTAGAGGAAGACGCCGGCGGCCCACGCGTCCCAGGCGGGGGTGGGCGGTCGGCCGAGCACGCACTCGGGGGGCGCAAACTCCAGCTGAGCGGGGGCGGGGGGCAGGACATCCCTCACGGTGCCACCGCCCGCCTCGCCCGTCTCCACGGCCGACCCGAAGTCCACCAGCTTCAACTGGGGCTGTGCCCCGCCCAGCTCGACGAGAATGTTCTCCGGCTAAGGGAAAGCGGTTCATAGCTATGGATGGACACAGGCTTATCATGTTAAATAGAAATAATTATTATGTTTTGTTTGTTTAACACAAACGATATTCGCACGGTTTTTATGGAACTATGTTGGATTTTTACTAGACTCTTTGAGCGCCTTTAAAAAAATATCGAGACAACTCGAAATGCAACCCACGGGTGTATCAGATGTGCATAGTCCATATCCACTTAACCGCCTGCTCGCTTGGCAACTTTACGTATAAAAAAAAAATAACTTCTTGGAATAGAAATTCGAAAGCGGCAAATTTGTGCTAAGGAATTAAAAAATAACAACTAGTAGGTATATTGTAATACAATGATAATCAATTAATAAATTGTTCAGTCTTGTCTGAACTTAGGCCGATAAAGCAAAACAAAAAATATAAAACATTGAACAACGAACGAGCTGCACTCACCCTGACGTCGAGGTGTGCGACGTCGATGGAGTGCAACCAGTCCAGGGCGGAGAGGAGGCTCCTGGTGTGTTGGGCGACGGTGCGCTGCGTGTAGTTGGCCGAGGCGGCCGCCCAGTCCAGCAGGGGCCCGCCGCCCACCAGCTCGAGCACCAGCGTGTGGGCGCCGGCGCGCGGCACCTCGGCGAACAGCGCCAGCGCCCGCACCACGGACGCGTGCGCGCCGCGCGACAGGATGCGGTACTCGCGCACTGCGTCCGCGCCCCGCCCGGCCACCACCTGCGCGACGCCACTGTCAGCACGCTCCACGCCACGCCCCCTCCGATAGGGTTACCGGTCCGACAGCTCGCGCGGGGACACTCGCCTGCTTGAGCGCCACCCGCTGCCCGGTGCCGGTGTCGCGTGCGGCCAACACGCGCGCGGTGCGCCCCCGCCCCAGCTCGTCCTCGAGGGCGTAGCGGCGCGCGAACTGCTCCCGCTGCCAGCCGCCCCCGCCGCCGCACGAGGCGGCCGCGGACGCGCCCCCCGCACCGCCGCCCCGCGCGCACACCAGCCTGCCGGCGACACACCGCCACCACCTCCAGCGTACCGTACGACACAAAGCGCACGCGGGAACCGACGCCCTACTACTCTATTCGAACCCTACAAACGCTAATTGGATTGATCTCACTCAAAGAGCGAGGTATTGACGAAGCTTGATAAAGACGTACTGCGTGGAGATAGTTGGAGCAAAATTTTCGACTATCTTGTTTAACTGAACAATTGGTATATTATACAGCGTGTCGTTACCATCGCGACAATAAATGAACACGTCTAACGCTAGGTGCCAATAATATTAAAAAAATATTAACGTTAAAAATATCCATAATTAAAAAAAAATAATTTTCAAACAAACTAATTAAGTCAAAATGAAACGAAATTTGTAACATCCTATACAACTATAACTGACTGATTCATACATTCAGAGACTTTTTCATTCGTTGTCGCGGCGTCGCATTACAAAGCCTACAACCATTCAACCTATTCATACGCTTTGTGACCTTTACAAATGAATTCTTTGTTTTGGAAAATTTAATAACTTATAATTTAAGAATGTAAATTTTTGATACAATTTTAAAAAGCTATCCTTTATATGTGTGTTCATTTATTGTCGCGTTGGTAACGACACCCTGTATACGCATAAGTATGTGTATTTGTTTTAATTAAAAAAAAATGATAATATTATTTCCCCACAAGTGAAATACTTTAAAATTGCACATGAATTCCCTACGAAGACCAAAGGGCGTCGCCTACGTCGAAACTAGCGATGCCGTCGCGCAGCCGGTGGGGTTGCCTCACCTGAAGCTGTACTGCCCGGCGGGTAGCTCTTCGAGGGCGAGGGTGCTCGCGGCCGCGGGCGTCTCCGTGGCGCGCCGCCACTCGGCCTCGCCCACGCGGCAGTACTCGAGGTGGGCGGGCGCGGGCTCGTCCCACTGCACGACGAGGCCGCCGCCGGGGTGCGCGCGCACCGTGGGCACGCCGGGGATGCCCCCGGCGCCGACGGTGAGCCGCGCCGAGCTCTGCACGCCGCCCAGCTCGTTGCTCACGAGGCAGCAGTAGACGCCCGCGTCGGAGGCGCGGCACGCGTGTATCGTGAGCGTGGCGAGGCCGTCGGGCGCGAGTGCGATGGCGAACCGGCCGCCGTGGCGCAGCGCGCGCGTCTCGGGCGCCGTCTTCCGCCAGGTGGCGCTGGCGCGCGTCGCGTTCGCGCGGCACGCGAGCGTGGCGCTCGCGCCGGGCGCCGCGCTCACGTCCGCCGCCGGCTCGAGCAGCTCGGGCGCGCGCAGCTCGGTCACCGAGCCCTCGGCGCCCGGCTCGCCCCCGCCGCCGCCGCCGCCCCCACCGCCTCCGCGGCGCAGTTTCAGCCCCCACGCCCGCTTCGACAAGCCCTGCGGGCCACACACACACACACACACCCCGTGTTGACCTCCCGGACCACGCGCAAGCGAGACCCACGAGCGTTTCATGCACGCGCTCTACTACGCTCTACTACTCCCCACCTCGCTGGTCCACTCTTTAACTAAACTATTTACAATAATAAATAAACTTAAAACTCGTCTCTGGCGGTCATGCCGAATCACAAAGCACATTGGAGTCTTGCGCGTGCGCCCGATCCTGCCCGATATCACAGTCTATGTTAGAAATGCATGCCCGTCTTTATCATACCTACAACAAAAGAAATGTAGAAAAGCGTTAAAAAACAACATGCAAAATAGAAGAGTAGACAATGCAACTGTTCCAAAGAGGCAAAAGTAAATTTCGTGCAATAATATAATACACTGCAAGATTTATAAAAAAGAGCAAACGAGGATAAACGGAATAAAGTAAACATATATTTTAATAAAGGAAAAAAATAACATGCAATAGCATGCAAAACTGAAAAAATGTGGCTACGGCTCAAACGGCTTGATGTAGAATACATTAATCGTATTATTTGCGAGGGTGTGTTCATTTCATCACTTATATTTAGGCTATGCGACGTGCGTTCCTTTGCATACCAATTTCGTTATTAAGAAAGCTTACATTCATAAGTGATTTCCTTTAACTAAAAGTTATTAATGTCTACAGTGGATGAAATAATTATTATTTATAATTATATTTCTATTGAGCATAGAGAATAAAGTTTGCACAACATTGTTTGTAGTCGTATTTGCTTGTATTTTTATATGCTTGTATTGATTTATTATTTCTTCTTTCTTTTCTTTTTTCTTCTATTATTTTTAAAAACATTAGCCTTACTTTAGGATAACATTATCCTGTGTTGTAAGGACATTTTACAAACATAAACTTCACATAGACAAACACCCAGATGAAAAACAACTATATGTGAGTTGCACAAATAGTTATCCTGTGTGGGAATCGAACCCACGACCCCGACGCCGAAGCCAATACCTTGGCAACTGCGCCCCGGAGTCCTCATTATAACACTTTATGGCTACTTTTGTTAGCATCTAAAGGCAGGTAGCTACCTAGGTAAATCTTATATTAATATAACCACAGTTTTGTTTTTTATGGTAAAATAATTCACTAAGAACTATTTTTCAGAAGATATTGTAAATTAGACTTATTAAGGCTTATTTTTCAGAGATATTGTAATTTACTATTGTCTAAGCTTATCATTTTGTGTAATTTATACAGCCCTTGCATGTGTATATTTCTTTTGTATATCTTAAATAAATGCTAACCGCATTTATCTAAGTTTAAATTTAAAATTTCAGCATAGTGACAGGGTTTTTTACGTATTGTTTGTGCTATTCTTATCTGATGGAATATTAAGAGTGACATTTTTCTCATTCGAGAAGTGATTGTTTATTTATTCACGTTTAGCATAGTTATATATGTATCGATTTGTACATTCATTTGTAACACAGCTGTCATGCCCTGTATGATCAAAAATAAAAAAAATGTTATAATTATTGATCACGCAGGGATAAAATTTTTATACGTTTCTGTAAAATAATTTGACATTATGGTTCTTAGCAATTTTTTCCTTCCCACCGTAGTATCCCTTACAGTATACGAGTTAGATCATAGTAGGTTTTTTTTTACTTTTTCTGAAATAGTTTGTCTTTTCTTTTTTATTATAAATGACTTTGTGTAGTTCTAATTCATTTGTAATTGAGACAACGTAAATTTATTTTTGTAAACGATATGGTATATCTATGAAAGATAACTTTCAATAGTAAAATATTATTGTAATTTTGTTTTGTAACATTAATGTATTAATAATTGTTGCCTAATCAATCAATACTACAATATGTCGGCTGCGGATTACATACACGAGCCGACCGCTTTAGGATAGCTAAACATTTACACGGTAGAAGTATCTACACCGATTTTGTCGGAGCTCGAGCGTTTAGTTTGTAGACGGACGTGAGGACGTCTAGGCGGTTAGTGTCGGTGCTATATCGGAGGGGCGTCCTTGGATTTGGCCTCGGCGCTACGTTAGTTGGTCCTTCGAGGCGGACTTACGTTGGCGTGCGGCGGCGAGGTGGGGCTCACGGCCGCGTTGGGCTTCTTGCGGTCGTCGCCGCGCCCAGAGCTGGGCGGCAAGTTGATCGTGTTGGCCTTAGCGTGGGGGCGCTGCGAGCGAGCGCGCAGCTCGGGCGCCTTGCGCGACCCCACGCACGGCGGCATGCTCTCCGTCTTATGCAGCCCGCTCCACCCCTCACCCACGCTACCGGGACGGGAATAGGATCGATTAAGAAACAAAAAGAAACAAAAGGGGGACATAAACGGGTGCGCCAGCTCCACCGTGTCATATGGGGTGTCCGATTATTGTGTAATTTTGTGTTGTAACTTCATTCAAGTAGGCATTGTTAATGAGGCAACTCAAAAAAAATTACTAATTCACAAATGTACATTTGATAGTTTGCAATATTTCATTGTCTATTTTTACGGTAAATTTCTTTGTGAAATAGTTTATTCAATAATTCTCAAGTGGTAAGCAAATTGTCGTTTTAGTTTACTGTATTAGTAATGTTAATAAATGAAAATAAATATTATATTTCATTTCATAGTCAAAAACTCCATTCCGTTATATCTATAACCCAAAAGTCGAGTTCTATCGCAGGTTTTAGGTATGTTAGTATATATTTCCTTATATCAAGATATCTAGAAAGCGTTAGTGTGAGTGATCCCAAGCTAAAGTCCTTGAAGCGTTGCCTTTGTATTTCGCTCGAAGCTGGCCCCGATAAATAAAAATCTCAAACGAAACCAAACAAACAAAATTTTTAATAAGCATGCGGGACTAGAAGCAGTAAATCAAAAGCGATTTTGATCCACATTTATTGGTTACTCATTTAACATATATTCAAGAGTTACAGAGTATGTTATCAGTTTAATATATATATATACACAGTAGTAATAGATCCAGTATATACAGGCTAAAATAAAATAAACCTGATTTAAATACATCGTTTTAGGTAACTTAATGAGCTTTGGTCGAAATTTATTTTTAATACAGTCACATTGCTCTAGTGGCTCTGAGATACAAAACATTATAGGAAGCGGAAAGAGAAGTAGAAACCTTACAAAGACTATTTGCTATCAATATTATAATTATAAAATATTCCTAAGAGTAAGAAAAGCCGACGATACCTCCGCTGCCAAAAAGCCCTAAACTGCAATGCTTTGGCGCAAATATGTAATCTATGATTCTCTTATATAACTCTAGACTTTGTGTAAGCGAGAGAAACTACGTAGTATTTAAACATAAAACACTTTAACGCACGTGGTGGTGGAGGAAATGAATAATACCAAGGAGATCATACAAACAATCATTAGTGCTACATAATATTAACTTTATTAGGGAATAAAACTATATCAAAACGTGAGAATTATATTTATAAATACAAGCTAAAAATTATCCGCTCCGCATGTTAGTTTCCACCCACCCAGCTGTTGGTCAAGTTACATTACGTCGACGGTGCTCGACGCTGCGCGCCGCTAATCTTGCCATCAATATTACGCTACAATTATATTCTATAAATAATATGCGATTCATTCAAGAACTTAACACTAGCCGAAATTCAAAAGCTTGATCAAACCTTAATGCTTACGACTAATCAATCCTAATTTAATTACTAGTTAAATGAACTGGACCGTAGCATGATAATAAATGAGCTTTTTTTATTTTAGTACACAAATCAATAAAAAAACTTTTACAAAGTAAAGTTGTACAATGGACAAGCGTCTTCAATACACATAACAAATTGTCTCCCGTGAGATGTTGGATCCGCGATGCTGCGAGTGGGGAAGTGCGTCGGGGCTGGGATCAATTTGTTATATATATTGCATAAACCATAACCTTAGGCTAAATTGCATTATGATGAGTGAGCAAAGACATTGCCTCCCGCCCCCTAACACGCCACGCGGTAGCACAGGTCCAGATAGCGGACGTAGTATAGCGCGACCACGGACTCGGATCCTAATACTATAATACATCTACTCAGTGTGAGGCGTCATCGAGTTACGTATCTTAATCCCCCGATTTAAGGTGACCCCACCATCGGCCGGGCGTCGGCGAGGTCTCCTCCCCGCGGCCCCCGGCCCCTGCGGGTCTATCTACATCCGCTCTTAAATCAAGGTTTGAACAACACCGACAAATAAACTAGGGCGGCCATTCCCTATGCACGGCGCTATGCATAATTAAACGCTAAGGATAAACTATACGTACGACTTAAAACGAAAGCCAACCTATAAATTACCAACTGTAATAAAAGATCACAACGAGCAATAAAAACTAATCGAAACTATACATACATATTCGATGAGAAAATTAATCTTAACCCAACTATGTACAAACGATAAGAAATCTGTGTGAAAGCTGAAAATCCCGTAAAAAAATTAAAACCAGCATTATGTATTACGTAAAATGCATTAACCGAGATCATATTGTATAATACTTGCTAATCTAAACTATGCTAGAATAATACGAGTCCTTAAAACGATAATCCTTAACATGAAATCCATCTCTTTTCAAATAATGTACGCTTTGCAGACATTCCGATATATCCAGTCTTGTTCCGTTCCATCTTAGCGTTAATAAATATGACTAACACTACCATTGGATTACGTATTGACTTAAACATGATTTCGTATAATATTATTGTAGATGAGAAAATGGTCGATAACGATTTGGTTAAATACGAGTGTACACTAAGAGAGTTCAAAAACACCAATAATTAAATATTAAATACGCGGCATCCTAAAGTTGCCGTCGGTTACACGAGATGCTAATAAGAATAATAACATCTACCGCTACTGGAATGAATAAATTCCCTTAATATTAACCTAATCTAATGTTGCGTGTGTTCCGTTGTCCATTTGGGGTGCGCAAGGATATTTTCTGTCCGTTCTCGTCAATGGTGCTCTCCATGTCTATGGCTCATGTTCCGATGTCGGCCAACCGAAGTATAAATTTAATGTTTGAACTAATTAATTAGGGTCGTAGTGAAGCTCACATGGTTCGTTTCGGATGTCATTGGCTCATAAAGTTATTTCTATTAAAACAAGTAGACAAATCAACACGCACGCATACGCGCAAACACACACAGTTATGACCTTTACACCGATGCCATTGACTGTTACTCTCTCGTACGTACAACCCGTTCACAATTTGGTCGATTTGTGTGTGCGTTACTGTAGTAATTTTATATTAAAGAACATTATCGCCTATGCTATCAATTCCGCTGCTGCAGCTCTCACTAGAACTTATCAAACGATTAAATTTAACCTACGTTAAGGCTAGATACGCGGGAGGCAATTAATGGCAGTACTTATCAGAGTCTTTTGAATTACAATAATTTTACTGGCGCTTCGCTCGCGCTCAATAAAATGATATGATTTTAATCTAGTATTTGTGCTGGCACGTTGTGACACGCGGCTAGAGTGCGTCGTCGAGTGCTCGTACGTCTCTCGACGCAATCGACAATCTCGTATAAAGATTTTTTTTAGTGTTCGTTATAAAATAGTCTCCTATAAGAGCGATATAAAAACACGAAACTACGTAATTTTAGGGTTTAGTATTATAATTGGTAAATTTCGTTTATTCGTTCGGCCGGAGGTGCTGTCTACCGTTTCGTTTAACCGTTAACTAATGGACGTAAACACTGCAGCCGAGAACTCTTAACGAGTCTAGTTCTTTATTTGTCCTATGGCGAAACGATGGCACATGAGTCAATCAGAGTTAAAATGGTCGAATTAGTGTGGTCTCGGTGAAACAAAACGAACTTAATTTAACATTGCGCGCATTACACGAATATTGAAAGAAAAACAAATTACATCATGACAATGACTTCTTCCATCTACCTAAATACTATAAAACATATTGTAACTAAAACATTTTAGTAATTTTATCGAGTTTAACATGTCTTTAAGTTCCCGACGTCACGGACACTTTACAGCGGGAATAGACGGGATAGACTAGTGACGCTGTAAAGTATTATAAACGTTGGCAAATCAAAAACAAATCAAACGCGAAAAACGTCAATAAAAAAAGTTTCATATATAATTTTACAATATACAAATACACCTAAGCAAACAAACAATTTTTATTTAAACAACATAATGTACATTATCGCCTTACCCACTTGTCTCTAACTAAAGTGTATGAATTTTGATATTATAATAAATGAGGCCAATTAATGCTAGTTTAGTTAGAACAAGCGCACAGAACAAAGAACAACAAAACGTCCACAAAAACATATCAATATATATATATATATATATATTCAAATGAGAATACGCCGAGATATGTCCTGGTACGGTTGCAATTTTTTCTTCAGTCTGCGCGCGTTTACAGACGTAAAAATTTAAACCTGAAATATAAATAATGTTACATAATTTGCTTATTCCCATCACCATTTGCGCGTTTCTTTCAAGAGTTTGTGGCCAATATTTACATGTACAAGTAGTTAGCAGGGTTAATGTATCAACTGCGCTGAACAGATCGTCCGAATATGGCAATTGTCGGATATTCATCTTTTATACCATACATATTTAATTTTTGTAACATTTACAAATATTCGGATGAAATGTGTTGCTTTCTCTATTAATTACAACAAGGTTAATTCAGCTGTCCGATATACCCAGAGCTAAATATTTGAAAGTGCAAAGAGCTAAATATCAAAAGTTACGTTATATTTATATATTAAACATGCTCCACTTACTTTGCTCTGGGTATAAACAAGCATTTAAGCACCTCGAACCGATGGTAGTAAGAATCTAGTCAAATTGCTCACATAACAAGAAGCTACCTCCCTTAATGCGATAGGTAATAGATACCGATAACCAGCGGCACGGGGAATCATGGTGAAGGATGGAAAATAGGAATAAAGTGGGCAAGGGGCTTAAGTAAATTTTCTTAGTGTGATAATTTACACAGGTGAAAAGGAAGATTTTAGATTTCATATTTATTCTTTATCTCAAAATGAATTCCACAAAAACTTTATTTTGAAAAAGAGGCAATTAATTATTATTATTATGGCATCATCCTCCTTCCCTTATCCCACCTGAGTGGGGTCGGTACAAGTGATTCATTTTTTCATGATTTCACGTGGTTTTGGCTACGTTTTGTAAGACCGGCCTGCCTCAAGCGTCAATCCTTCTTGCGAAACTAACACTCAGATCCGGGACCATTATCTGTGGATGACACGAATACATATCCCGTGTGGGAATCGAACCCACGACCCCCGAAGCCATAGCCAATGATCTTAGCAACGGCGCCACCGATTCATCATATATATAGATTGTTATATTTGTCAAATTTTGAATGTCGAAATAGTAGAGTCAAAATATTGACATTAAAAACTTCTGCATTTTATTATTTTTAAAACTGAACTTTACCTTAAGCTTGTACGTGGCAATGTGTAAAGTATTGATAAAGAGGTTTTCTGGTTAAATATTTTGACAAAGACCAAGGAAAATGAGCAATTATTGAAAGGGATTGAATGATTTTTTTAAGTCATAAATAATAATTAGAGATCTATACATATTTTAAGTTCTTGGGTATTATAAATTGATAATATTTTCGTAACTATTTGCCATTTTCATTTTTGTAGCGATGGGAAAATCTATTATTTAATTTTAAGTTTGGTAAAATTTTTGTGTAAATTAACGACATATATACGAGTAGCTAAATAGTGGGGAAGAATTTAAATGACTCCGTGACGCAGTTGCCAACGTATTGTCTTCGGCAGCGTGGGTTCGATTCCCACGCGGGACGACTATTTGAGGTATCCACAGATGGTTGTTTCGCATCTGGGTGTACGTTGTCGATTTTCTTGATGAAAATTATTGATAACCTTTTTAATGTGTAAGTCAATAAGAGCTGTTTTCAGTTAGCGCCTGCAGAATCGGCTGTAATAGTTTTGATGTCCACGCCATTGATTTGGTCATCCATTCGTTTGTGAAATGTTTTCTTCTGTTTTCTAATAGTGAATGGAAGCTGCTTGTTTCACATTTGAATTGTCAACGGTCCATTTTGTTTCGGCGAAGGAAACCGTTACTAGATCATTGAAGATGATTGAATGGAGATGGCTGATGGCCGACGGTCGCCGTCATGTCTGAATCTCGATAACGGGACGGGGAGGGATGGCGTGGGAGTGGGCTTGGGCGTGGGAGTGGGCGTGGGAGTGGGCGTGGGGGCGCCGCGCGCGTACTTACGCCGCGGGGTCGCGCGCCTGGTCGCGGTGCAGCTCGCGCAAGTAGGCGCCCGGGTTCTCGAGCGCCTCGCCGAAGATGCGCTGCGAGCGCAGTATGGTCGCGAGGGTGGTGGTCCACTGGGCGCGGCGGGCGTCCGGCGCGCGGCACAGGTACGACTGGCGCGGCTTGTTCGGGTCCACAGCGTGCACGATGAACGCCCCGCCCTGCTCCAGCTCCTCGAGCTCCATCTTGTTCACCTGCGCCCACGCGAGCACAAGGGTTATTGTATATTCAGTTGCTCAGGCGCACGGGATACGCGCCCTGCCGGCTGCGCCGCAGGGGCGCAGGGAACGTAAGTCAAAAGACGCATTAAGACTGCTAATACATAATATGACAGGACACGTCGAGCGTGATGCGTTACAAATGAGAACAGGAACGCCAACGACCTCGAGTGACCGCGATCCGTCGTCTGGCATTCGAAAGGTAAGGTTCGATAAGAAAATCAACTCTCCGCTTTTTGAAAACTTTTTATTTTATGATTTATTTATAAAAAGTATTAGTAAGTCTATTGGTCATAATTAGTTCTTTTTGTAAATAAATATTTCAAGACGATAACTTTAGTTTTATTATAAATAAATAAAATGCCTATTTTCCTTTTAAAAATAGTCGGTGGATTATAGAAATACCTACATACATTATACAAATTTGCATATTTCCCCTTGAAATATCAAGGGGAAATATGCAAATTTTCGAAATACCATACGAATATTTCGAAGTTATTAATCTTATTTTGACTTGCTTTTCGAAGATATTTGGGGTTGCGACCTCACGAGTAGACTATGCCCTTATACCCTCTGTACAGAGGAGGCCTTTGCTCAGCAGTGGGACATATATAGGCTGTTACTCTACTTTTTTGCTTTGAATTGACAGCTATGATGTCAAGACCAGATGGCGCTAAGTAAATCCTATTCTTATTTAAATCGCATTTTTTTTGCATGATTGATGTTACGCTTGCAGTCCTTAGACTATTAAAGCTTTATCGAAGACAGAACCGGTGGGCTAGCCAGAACCCACGGGTTTGAGCCCCTCCTAAGTGGGTAGGGCCGCGCATGTACTCATGCGATTAAAATCGCAATGCACAGACGTAACTGTGGTAGAACCACGCACAGTCTTCGCTGTTGCACGAATGGGCAGGCAACGACTTCACAGAAGAGGCGTGAAGTGAAAGTGTTTTACTTCTGCGTTTCGTCTAGTCAGTGAGGTGGTGGGGCCCACTTTATTGAAGGTGACAACGCATTCTGCGACCCTACAGGTCATGCATATGACAATGGGCAGCGGTCATCACTTGAACAGGTGGACGGCTCGCTTACCACCTTGTCACATAAAAAAGTGCACGAATAATTACTTGTTTCTACGAAGCTTACAGATACATGACAGATCGCCAGAGGTCCAAAGACGTCCGCGCGCGACGGAGATCACTTACCACCAGGAGACCCGCTTGCTCTTTTGTTCATGTTCAAGTGAACAAGTTCGTGGTCAACTTGAAGTGATTACGTTTATGCCTACCTAATTATCACTCCATTTACCGAACAATTAGTTATGGTATAAAATCAAATTTTAAGACATAAAATAATTCGAATGAATTATCTTTTATTATTCTAAATTCTAAATACACAATATGTTGAAGGTATTACAGCTGAGCCATCACCTTTGGTCTGATTGCACAAATGTAACAATCAATTTAGTAGTCAGAAAACACAGCATTGTTTGGAAAGCCCTTATCTTGAGGTTTTAACCGAATTAGATTCTCGGTTTTCACATTAAGTGCTGTTTTACCGTGTATGTGATGAAAATACGAGGAAACAATTACATTGCCCGATTGTGTACACCCATTCTGCGAAGTACCTCACAGACGACCGATAGAGAAGTGCGAGTCCTACTTAAGCATAAGTCCGTCGGACCCACAGACATAGTGAACACACACACACACACACACACACACACTTCTTATACATAGGTACTTTTATGTGTTTTTACGTTTATGTACCAAATAAATATGTTTCTTTCTTTCTTTCTTTCAATGTGCACCCGCGTTCCAGGGCGGTCCAGACCCAATTTGGACTGCTAAAATGAGCACATGCGTAGCCCTCGTGAGACTTATTAGCCCGTGATACATAGCTAATGATTTGTGCCATGAGGCTTCAATACTCTACGGGCTGAAAGGGACCTCTGCTTGTCACCTTCTCACATATCAAAAGAAACATGACAACAATTAAACTGGATTCAGTACACTAAACGGCTGTTGGGGTAAGAGCTACGTTGCTATTTGGACCTTGGAGCGCACGCAATTAACACTAAGATCGGAGAGCACCGGCGGCGGCGTTACCTGCACGTGGGCCTTGTAGTTGTAGGTGGGGCTGGTGAATTGGTTCTTCTTGCCCACGGCCTCGCTGAAGATCATGCACTGCTCGAAGAGGAACACGTGCAACTCCTTGCCCCTGTCGTTGGAGGCCGCGTCGGAGACCACCAGCTGCTCTTGCATCAGCAGCTTGCCCTGGGCGGTGATGTTGCCCTGGAACAGAAACGGCTATCGTCACGGACGGCATCACTTGGCGCTTAATATACGCGGATTAACGAAAACAGTCTCCTTTGGTAAAGGGAACAATCAAAGATTTTTTGGCATGCAATAAGAGACTGAAATAAGCGTATTAATAATATGTAAAATTTCTAATGGATAAAAAGTACACAGCATTTTCGGGCCTTCGCGCAGCCTTAATGTCAAAAGGATGGCGTTAGCGTAGTCTTATTTAGAATTGCATTTGCGAGATGGGACATGAACATGAGTGATTGACGTAGCCGCAGCCCAAGATTCAAAAGGTTGTCAATGCATCTGTAACTCTCGGGTGTAGCAGATGCCCATGGGCGGCGGTATTCGTTTACATCAGGTGAACTGTCTGCTCGTTTGGCAACTTTTCACATAAAAAAAAACACATGTACTCATGTGAGGATTTATACAAGTGTTGCCTACTGTGTAGTATATTTTAATTACGTTAAATTATTCACATGAGCCGTGTTAGCTCAGTGTCCGGGCGCTCGCCATTAATTCAATATACTCGAGCAACCTGAGTTCGAACCCCGGTGCCGGCACCAATGAAGTTTTGCAACATTAAGTGCTGACTTATCACGTGCTCCGCGGTGAAGGAAAAGGTCGTGAGGAAACATGCATATTTTCAAAATAATAATAAAAAAAAAATATTTTTCGAGGATATGTGAACACTGCCAATCCGCAGTGAGGCCGCGTGGGAGACTATGCTCTCATACCATCTGTATAGAGGAGGCCTTTGCCCAGCAGTGGGACATGTATAGTCTGTTACTTTACTTTTATTGACATTCATCATCATCATTTCAGCCTGACAGAGTCCCCTGCTTAACATGGGAATCACCCAAACACAGACAGGCAGAACGGTCCTCTACCCACTGTATCCCATCCATTTCCCGCACATTTGCATCATTATTCATATCGTTGTGATGATAGACGACGTTTTACGCTCTTATTAAACATTATGGAACAAATCCGCAACTTTATTTCAAAAACTATATCAATTTACATATCGTATCATATTACAACAGGTGCAATAATAAGTATGCATTACTAATAAATATTGTCAAATACATAGATTATATGAGATCTTACTTCAACATTGCATATTTTGTTAAATTTTTCTTTATTTACACAAAATTAAGATAACTCCGACGTAACAGCAAACGTTGGTTGAGTTTTAATGGATTCTAAGTTGTTGCAAATTCATGTTAAGTGGATTGTGCCCTCGTTGAAATACACCGCTGAACGTTGCACATGTGGAGCATATTGGAGCTCATTACGTCCGTTAACGTGCTAATGGACAGCCACCGCAGCCGGTGTTGGAGTGTGATCGAGTAGGACTGACCGGGCCAGTTCGCTTTCGGCCATTAGTTCGGCGCGTCAAGTGGGAAAATTTACTGATTGGATTGTACAGGTACAGCGGAGTGGCGTCGGTAAATATTATCACATCAAACACGTAGATACTAATGATAGATATAAATGTGTAAGCTTCAATACAAATGTCAGGCTCAATTTGTTTATTTTACATATAGAAGATTAGATTCATCAGAAAAATTAGCGAGGGCGATGGCAACAGCAGAAACGCGCTCCCGTCACAAAAGGAACGTCGGGTCAGATCCAAAATTGCGATCATGCGGTCGATAATATAATCAGAAAGTCGCCAGCAACACATGCAGGGGTTATCGTGTGCAGTAACGCCTACAGATGTCTCATTGCACTTCGCCGTGGAAACAATCAATGTACACAATATCTAAATATATTCGCGTAGAGCCGAAATTATATTAAGAAATGCGATAAGAAGGCACTTGCCGAGGTGCGTCTCTGGTTTGTAATGGCAACACTTCGCTACAGAAGCTACGGGCGCTCACCGTGAAGCCCTGCAGACGGCCGACGTCCATCATGTCGTTGGCATTCTTTGGGATGATGGACGTGCACAGGACAGCTTCCTCGAGCGCGGAGATCACGGCGTCGGGCTCTTGGGCGCTCTGAGAGTACGCCAGGATCTTCTTCACCAGCAGGTGGTACTTTTGGATGCGTTGGATCGGTTTGATCAAGAGATCGCTCAGCTGAAAACGTACGGGAGCCAATGCGGTCATTGTTTTCTTATCGAAGCGTCAGCGTATTAATATTGATTATGTAACAATGCAGCATGCGGATACGTCAAAGCGGCACAACGACGATCTAGCTGCGATGCGTTGGCGTGATTCTGTGTTGTGGTGCGAGTGTGAGTCAGGTGACAGTGGTGAGAGACAAACATAAATTGAACGCCCCCAAAAATAAACAGAACGAACATAAAATACGTCTGTATGTGTCATAAAGGTCGTGACTGTATATGTGGGCCAAGCAAGGTCGAAGAGATAAGGGGGCACTTTCAACGGCGCTCAGAGTTTACGTCCAGGAATGAGTGCGCACTGCCCTAAGCGTGCGTTCAAAGTGCCTCGTCGCGGAGATCCACTCGGGGCTTTGGTGCTGCGTTTGCACACGTCTTGGCGTCCACGTACCAAATCCGTATTCGCGAGTCCCTCGAGAGTGTCTTTACGTAGAGATAAGAGGAGTGTGACGTCTACTATTCACATGAAGTGTAAGTGACACGTCAAATTGACACTCGACTGATGTGTTTAGTTGACGTCAGCCGTGAGCCGCAAGTCGAAGCCTACCATCGGAGCGCGGCTGGTACGAACGCAGAAAGCCAAATGGCCGTACCGTATTGAATGTGAATAGCAAGTTTTGTTGCGTCGACTGCGAAACAATCGGCGTACGCAACTACTAAACGTGGATACTATTCGTTTTTGATTAATCGGATAAACCAGTCTGCGGGGTACCAGCGTTGCTCGATGTCCGGATAATACAGAACGTTACGTGTACCTGGTTGAGGCTCGTGCGAGCACCAGGGATGTGGAAGCGTTGTCTAAGTTGTACCTAGAACCCCATGAATATGTCACCCAAGCGAAGGCAAGTTTTAAGCAGACATATGTTGTAAAATGAAATGATAGGTGCACAGACTGATTTTCATTGAGAAAACACGGGGTAGCTCAACTAAAGTTCAAAAGTGGAGTAAACGCTACATTGTTGGCTTGGTTCGTGTTATCGAAGCATGAGGTGTTTCAATATCGATGCACAGGTCGAACTGTGCCCGTTGCGCTCATATACTTCCACATGCAACGAGCAAGTGTTTAGTTAACGTCAAGTTCCCGCCCGACGAGGCGCGTTTGCGAACGATAATGCCAATTATCACCATCAATATTCTCCATACGGATGAGCACTAACGAGATGTTGCTTTGTTTCACTATCACGGTCAATGCAGTGAGAGATGAATCTTGAGCTTTGGTTGTATTGTGAAGGTGAGCAGAAACCGCTCAGTGAAAGATGGCGGATACAAACCTGCAGCTTGTGGCCCAGCTTCTGCCTCAGCTCTTGGAAGTAGTGGTCGTGCTCCGAAACAATGTACTCGGAGACGGGCTTGTTTCGGCAGTAGGCCTCGTACATGAACATCCTCTTCTCGAGGAAGCGGCGGAACAGTGGCCCCAGCAGCTCCGGCTTGCTCATGCAGGCTTGAAGCTCGCACAAGAACTTGCTGCACAGAGCAAAGTCCCCATTGAATCGATGCCGCAATCGCAACGCCTGCGTCTATTCAAATAGCTCAGCAAATGACACGCCAGCATCGACATATAAAGGATAAGTTCGCATTTATCAAATTAAACTTGTAGCATTAACGTAAGTTAATTAAGTCCATGACTTAGAACAAGTACGAACCCCTGAAATTACCAAAAATACAAACTTCAAATATTAGGTGAGAACAAAAAAAAAAATGACGGAATTTCCAAACGATATCTGCCCATTATTTCGTCCGTTTACTAACACCAATTCTATTGAGGCGGTTGATGTTTCGACGACCGTTAGTTTCCAAGATTCACAGAAAAATATCTCCAAAGTCGCCATAAAGGCTTTCGCAGAGCTGGCAACGCAATATTCGCTCGAGCTTTACACACGCGAAAGTGAGTCGCGAATCACGAATAGTATTAAGAGTTGACGAGGTGATCGGTGGTACGTCTTGGGAATAAGGTATCATCACAATGATACGACGCTGGGCTCCCCGATGACCTCGGCACGATCCTCAGAAGCAATAAATATTCATTTGATAGAGAAATACGCGAGTAAATGGGGACTCCTTGTATGTATAGGTACAATGTAATAGAGAAATGTACGAATATACTTGGTGAGCTTTGGGCCCAATTGTTTCGCACTGAACAGGTCATTGGATGAGATAACGTTACGGCAACGGGTTAAATGAGGGCGATACTCACTCGCGGTGCCATTCGTAGATCGCTTCGATGTTGCCGAAGATCATGCGGTGGCGGCGGTCGCGGAGGCCCTCGGGCATCGGTGGGTCGGCCGCAGGGTCCTACGCGCACATTTACAACGATTATCGCACGCGGTGCCAACAAACAGTGGGCCCCGGCCACGCACGCGGCTGCCAGCTAGAGGTCTCAACGTGCCAACTACACGAAACATTACAACGTATGTCGCAGTAATGAGAAGATCGCACTCTGGGCTGGACGACGGTCGGTACAGCTTTTGACCGTTGTCACTAACTTGGATCATTTCACTAGTAGCGCTTGAGAGATTTTGCCATGATGTTATGTCTGTTGCACGTATGGGCAGGTCCGTCAGAAGACAGAAGACCGGCGTGACATGAAACTGTTATACTTCTGCGTTCCATCCGGTGAGTGGGGTAGCCGAGGCCCACTGTATTGAAAGGTGGCACCACATCTGCAACCCTACGGGTATAGCCAATGTCAATCGGCGACGGTTAACGCTTAACATCAGATGAACCTCCAGCTCGATTGCCACCTTCTCACTTAAAAATAAATGATAACCCACAGAGCTTCTTGTGCGTAACATGTATGGCGAGAAGTATTTATTATTGGACTCTTAAGAGTGAGCACTACTTCCACTCCCCGGTTGTTGTGGATGACGTAAGAGGGCGGCGTTTATCGCTTAAGATCAGGCGGTGGGTTTGCTCGTCTAACAACTTCTCCCCTCTTATGAGAAAGAACACGTTTAAATGTTTGATTCTGAAATATCTGGAAGATACTCCACAATGTACAGGGTAATAGTCATAACTTTTATTGCTTCTCCTAGCCATTATATAAAACATGTGATGTGCACTTCACACCGCAGTAGCATTATGTGCCGATCATTGAGTTTTTGGAAAACGTCTCTGTAACTGCACACGTGGTATCGTGCCACTGCAAGCGGTGATGTATTACCGCTTTAGGACTGCCAGTAACAGTTTGGGAAATAGAATGTCTTATTAGGGAATCATATCGCTGGTTTATAACGCTGTTCAAAGATTTGTCAATTGGTACAATTAAAATGTGAATAATGTGACGTATGGTAGGAACACGGTCTTCTCTGTTGCACGAATGGACAGTTCCGTCTGGGGAAGTACCAAGATTTAACAGCAGACCGGTGTGAATTGAAGTGTTATACTTCTGCATTTCGTCCGGTGAGGTAGTCGGAGCCCATTTTATTAAAAGGTGGCAACGCATCTGCAACCCTATGGGTGTTACCATGGCGGAGGTAGGCACCTAACGTCAGTAAACCAGCTCGATTGACACCTGACATGAATAAAAAATATATAACCTTAATATATAACAAATACATTTATATGCAATGGTGCGATATATAGAGATTTCAGAACATTCATCGTACATCTAAGTATAAACACGTTTCCTTTTACAAGTTGACCTGTGTAAAATTGGCACTGTAAAATATTTATTGTATGTACATAAAATATACAAAGCAATATCACATACTTTTGGATGCTATATGAGGCTTGTGAATTTAAGAGTCCATCACAATGATACCATTATCGGTAAAAATAAAGTACACGAGACGTCGAAATAAAATGTTTCGGATACCATTCAGGATTCCAACACTCGAGAACTTTTTAAAATTAAAGCCGTGTAAAGTGAAATACATGTAAAGTGATTTCGCTAAAAGGTAGCTTAAAACAATACATATTAGGTGTTTTATATTTTATGTATCAAGACATATCTTTAATTTAAGCTGAAGCTCGTGATCCATACCATTTTTTTTATTATTTGAAGTATCGTTTGTTAAACGAATGTGATAATATGTAACGAGTACAGGCAGATAATAAACTGCTAAATATGGAAAAACATATTGGTGTTACGAGGATTAGTTAATGGACTAAGGACAAATTTGTAATTAAGAACGATGATAAAATAAAACTGAGTGATAACTGTTAATACTGTGAAATGTATAGCACAATATGAACAGCACGCTGTATCATATAAATTCCTACATTGTAACTTTACCTGTATAACACAACGCAAGGAGAGGTGTGTTTTATGGGCCTACCCGTTGATACTAACTTAGGTCATTTTACTCGTAGCGCTGCCATGATGTTATAGTATGATGTATTATATGGTAGGGCCATGAAACAGCCCTCGATGTTGCACGAATCGGCAGGTCCGTCCGGGACCTCACAGAAGACCGCCGTGAAGTGGAACTGCTATAATTCTGCGTATCGTCTGGTGACGATACGCAGATATACGAACCACCCGATATACGAATGGGCAGGTCCGTCCGGGTAAGTACCACGAACTCACAGAAACCAGCGTCTGGTGAGTGAGGTAGCCGGGGCCCACTTCATTAAAATGTGGGTGTCGCACATTTCAGTGGGCGGCGGTCATCACTTAACATCAGGTGAAGCGGCAACTCAATCGCCGACTTGTTCATACCAAAATAGAAAAATGGGGCTGCACTCACGGCCATGTGGCGAACGTATCCGTCGCAGATGAGGCGCAGATCGGAGACGTAGATCTCCTCGGTGTCGACCAGCTCGCGCAGCACGTACTCCCGCTTCTTGAGGATAGCTTCGATTTCCTCGGGTGTGGGGGTGGGCGGCTCGTCGCTACCCCCGCTGGGGCCGCCGGCGCCCCCACAGCCGCCATGCTGCTCCTGTACACCATTCACCATTCACCCCCGATTCACCACTGAGCCTGCCTACCTCAGGCAAAGCGGTAAGCCCTAACAGAATCTCGTGTTCAAACGTCACACTCGAGTTAAGGCTGATTATAAAAAAAAAAAAAAACAAATCGCAAAACCTAGTGCACCAGCAATTATCTAAATACGAAAAATTAACCAAACTTAAAAAGTACTTAGAGCATGAAGCACGGTGCAAAGTCCATTTATAAAATGATAAGTAAAAAAAAAATAAAGGTAAGCGACAAGCATTTAACAAAATTGACGATAAGCTATAATGTCATGCAAAAGTTACGGAGAAAAGTAATGCCTAATATATAACCACAGCACATCGGAAAGTGTTCGCCTCACGATCTCTATTTACCAAAACTGAAATCGTACATCTTACAAAATCGACTATTTACCGAAACACAAAATAGGTAAACAAAAACGCCACAATTGAAAACCAAGCGACTAAGATAAATTATTCGCTACCTCACGGTCCCCAAAATGATCGAGCAACTGAGTACAAACAACATTTGGAAATTACCACTTTTTTATTCGCATGTCCTTAATATGTCAAATGAGTGACTGAACATTTTAAAAAACAAAATCTAGATCCAAAATTTATAACTTTTATTTCGCTGCCCATTTTTGTATATTCCACAGCGAAAATAATGTTTTCCATCGAAAAACCTCACAGTTTTTTTTCAATGTCTGTATTAGCAATCTGAACAAGCGTCTGACATAATTTAATAAATAAAGAAAAAATGGTAATTAACTACGAATACTATGGACCGACTATAATAGAGTTAGAGTTACCTAATTTTAACCCACTTAAATAACAAAGTTTATAAACAATTATAAGCTTTGGCATTAACTTGTTCTAAACTTTAATCAAGTATCAAATTTTAATTAATACCATTTATAAACTACTAGCTCTTCGCCCGTGTTGAAGCCCTTAAATAAATATTTTTCAACCCTTTTTTACGATTAAAAAATAGCCTATGTCCTTTCTCAGGCTCTAGACTATATGTGTACCAAATTTCATTTAAATCGGTCCAGTCGTTTTGGAGTGAAAGCGAGACAGACAGACGGAGTAAATTATAGTAGTTATTAATACCATTTCTAACCTATTAATTACTATAAAATTCATATGAATTTTATAGTCATTAATATAGTTTATAAACGGTCACATTCTACTCTCGATCATCAAGTGGACAGTGCAGAGCTAAAAAAAAGTAATTCGTGGCACACTCCGCATGCATTAATTTGAATCGAACCATCTTCTCTTTCACAATTTGCTCAATTTCAGCGATATCGGCTGCTGGGCCGCCGTTAGTTTCCAAAGCGTCCATTGCCAAAGAGCCCTGAAACATGTCACCCACGTGTCACAAGCGACCAAAGAGACCGGGTTATCGAGAGAGAGTCGATAGAATAGAATGGCGGGAAGGTTCTAGATAATCGCACAACACTGAGTGCTGTCACACTTACTCGCGTTGTCGGGGCCGAGGCGGCGGCGGCGGGCGTCGGAGCCTGCTGCAGCACCGACTGCGGATCCTGCGTTCATTGGGGTTGAGTTATGCAAAAGTCGGGGTGCAAAAAGTGGTGGATGCAAATGGCAGCGTCGTTCGTTGTGGCGCACTAAGGGGGAGGGGCCTATGTTCAACAGCGGACGTCTTGAGGACGATGATGACCACGATGAGTTATGCAAATGATGCGCGATCTCATTTGAACGGGCATAACAGACAAATAACGAATCGCACTCCTTGGCTTTATAACTTGATCGCATATTACTGTAACCCATGTCAATTGATTTTGATATGATTCAATGAATGATAATAATCGCTATTTGTGTATTTTTTTATACGCGCCAGACCCTAAGGTCTCACCGATAGTGTTAAAAAAACGCTAAGGGTCTAAACCTCTAGCGTTTATTAACGCTATCGGCGCGCCCGGACCGTGGATTCGAATGTGAATATTTACGTAATGGCATCCAGTCGTTACCGCGCATGTTGGTAATAATAAACGGAAGACTAGACAATCCATCCGACAAATGAACAAGTACGGTTATTCTGACTTTTTCTTTTTTCCGGACAATAAAATGTCTACGTATGTAGGTGCATGGTACAGGCTACAGAGGTTTCAGGATAACGTAGCTAGGAAACGTCGATAAATGAACATCAGTTTAAAATAATCCTAGAAATGAAAAAGGGACAGGCAGACGTGAGAAGTAAGGCGTCTGCGTTGCTTTAAACGAGACATACATATGCGAATTCGACATGAAAAAGATTTTAATGTAGTCTCGTCTGCGTATACAAGTGAATGCGATGACGCACGGACGTAATAAGGGACCTACGGGGTGCTTTGACACAACGATTAGTGCACGTAATAATGTAACGCCTATCACAATAATCACCCAATAGATAATGAGGATCATGAAATGATCATAATATTGAAACATGTGGGAATAAGGAAAACGGAAATGAGTTAAGTTTGAAGTCAATATTGATAGGCTCTTTAAATTTTTCAATGTTTTAGAAATGATTAAAAACAATGAATTAATAATATATACCAAAACAACATTTTGTGGTATATATAAGAGCGAAAGAGATCGTTTACTTTACCTTCACAGTATTATTTACTACAGAACCGTAACTAATGGGGCGTTAATAACCGCGGACCATTTTTATACCAGCATGTAGGGATATGGCACAGTTGGGGTGTCGGGGCACGGGGTTTTAGAATACACATCAGCAAATTATAAGAACTCCCCTTTTCCGGATCAAGATCCGTTGCGTAGTTTTAAAGATCTAATCATACAGAGGGACAGACAGACAGCGGGACGACTTTGTTTTATACTATGTAGTGATGAACAATCCGAAATTGTTTTTATGGAAAATTGCCCACAATATTATTGTATAATTACAGCCGCTTATCCGTCCGGAGAGGTACCACAAACTTACAAAAGACCGGCGTGAAGTAGAAGTGTTATACTTCTGCATTTCGTCCGGTGAGTGAGGTAGTCGGAGCCCACTTTATTAAAAGGTGGCAACCCTACGGGTGTTGCAAATGTCCATGGGCAGCGGTTATCACTTAATATCGGGTGAGCCGCCTGCTCAATTGTCAAAGTGTGTGTGCTCGTTTGATACAAATAAAATAATGTATGTTAATAATGAAATAAACTAAATAAAAAAAAAATAAACTAACTAAATAAAAAAAAAATAACATGTAATTTCAGTAGGAAAGTGACTACTCTTACCATTTGTTACGATTCTGTTTAATTGTTACGAATGCTTTTTCTCTTTTTTTTAAATATTAAGTTATTATTTGTAAGTTAATTTGTATTTTTAAACATTGCTACAACTGCCGCATAACATTGGAAATCGTGAAGAACTAACCCCCATAGGACAGGCATTGCCTAGTGTGGGGGTCAGAAATAAATTTAACTGTAATTTGGCTTTTTCTGAATAAAGTTTATTTATTTATCTAAAAACAATGAAATATGACTGGGTTCTCATACTGCTTAGAGCTGTTCAATGGCAAGTATGTAGTTGTAATGACAGTTTCGGTCAATTACACACTCGATGAAGTTGTACGAAAATGTAGCCCTCAGCGGATAAGCAGCGGTTTCGAATTAAGCCCACCGCTAACATCCATCGATAGTTTGTTTTAAATTGTGTTAATGTTATAAAACAGAGCCTAGCGGCTTTATGTGGACAGGCCTGGGCGCACTGACCTGGATGGGCTTCATGGGCGGCGGCAGCTCCACGTCCGCGGCATCGTCCTCCGCCTCGTCCAGGGCACCGGCGCCGGCGGCCTGGCCCTCCTCGCCATCGTCGCGCCCGTTGCCGCTCACGTACGGCAGCTGAGCACCGGGGAGTCATGACAACGAGCGATTCAACGGGCCAAAATCTCGCAACGGTGTCGATGGCAAAAGCCAATAAGTTCGTCCACAGTAGAGATTGCTTGGCAATAGCTCTATGCAATATTCAAATTCTAATACGATTCAAATCATCGATTGCTGTTCATCATAGGAACTGCTACTGCACATCATAGTTGTAACGAAGTCAATAGAATACCACGAACTCTCAACAGAAGTTAGTTTGTTAACTACTTGGATCATTTGTACGCTCTCGCATTCTGAATGTACGAAGAGACGGTCCCAGTTTGTAAACCGATGGCGATGAATGTTTTGGAACTTTGAAGCGAAGGGAGAACACTAACAAATGCTCACAATGTTAATATTTGGTAAGATAACTTCTGTCGTGAAATAATTTTCTGGTCTGAATGTAAATCAAACGAAAGCAACAGTGATAAGTTAGTGGGTTATGTCCAAGCTAGCGTAATTATCATGTTCGAAATATACGTGGAAAAGATTCTACAACTGAGATATCTTATTAAATCTAATAAGTCATGCTTTTTCTAAAAACAATTCTGAAATGAAGTTATATAAAACTGGGAATTCGTAATACAGCTAAGGATTACAAATTATTTCGCCATTTATTCCTTTTATTCATATTCTTGAATGGTAAAAATCTTCGAAATAGAGCCATCCGATTTTGAGACTAGACCAGCCTATCTGATTGGCCTGATATGACCCGGCTGATCTGATTTGTTATAATTTAATATAAAAATACAATTTTACACAAACAATGAATTGCGCTTTGTTCGTGTTAATGAATGAGCAAGAGTGTGCAATTAACTTACACGGAGTTTCTTATCGGATGGTATCTTCTTAAGCGGAGCCGGTTTCTCAGTGGAGGCGGGGGACTGCGCTCCGGCAGGCGTCTTGTCCGCCTTGCCCTGGGATTGTTTGCCCTTCAGTCCGAGCCATCGCCGTCTGTCGAAGATAGTTGCCAATTAACAAACGAATCTTATACAAGATACGCCCATACGCAAACACATAAGCAGCACGCGCTCTATAGAGTGAAATAATGTGCGAAAGCTTTCTATCTTTGATAACAATGGTGCTTATAGTGACTTAAACTATCATGAAAATAGGACATCATATTATTAGTAGGCCGTACATCGTATTTTGCGTTAAAATGTTTTTAAGCAAAAAATAATGGAATTTCATTTTGTACAGAGAACGTTTTTCTACTCCTCGTTAAACTACTCTGTCTGGTTTTCTTACTTACATAATATTATTATATATAAATAAAATGATAATAAAGTTAATAACACTGCGCATTAACATCATAAACTATATTCTGTGATCCTTAAGATCGATCCCATAACAAATAATTAAACATAAAATCTTAAAAAAGAATCCAAAATTTGCAAGGCAGCCATTTTTATCGTAGCCCGCACGGTACCGGCGCAAATTTGCAAAAGCTTTAATCAGTTTGTGATTCAATAACTGTCCAGAAAGTGGCTTCAAGTGTGGATAACGTTCAACGTTCGCAATGAATGCAACCGTTGCGTTGTACTAGGGCTGGTTAAAATCATTGAGTGTCAGAGGACTAAATAAATGCACTCGTAACTACAGACCATTTATCCATTACCTTATACGATTCCTAAAATTGGTGATTTTTATTGATAAAGATATTAATTTTCTATTGTATTTGTGCATATTAATTATAAATAATATGGAATATTATATTGTTTACATCGATTAAGTCTAAGACAGCACATGGGCTGTCGACTTATAATTTGTAAAGTCATGAATCGTAAGCCGTGTTAACTTATTAAACCCTTACATATTTATTCATTGAATTCGTGTCCATCATGTCGATGTGTGCTTTATGCATACATTGAGGATTAAATATTTATCAAAATTCGGGAAATATTGATAATAGCAAACGTTTTAGGCACCTCTCCTCCTCGCGCTGCTAACCGCAATCTGTTTGATTGGAGTACGGTTTCATATACATGTAATTAGACACATAAACCGCATAGTTGAGATTGTTACCCCCTCTACTTAACAACTGCACTCCCCCACAATACAAGGCGCCCCTTAACATACCACGTAATGTAACTTATTCAGTGGTTGGAGGACGAACGATGCGATCAAAAATTGGATGCGAGGGAGTTGCTACGGGAATATTTATTGGTTTCCTACGAGCGAAATTGAACATGATGACATATATTGCAAAATGTCGGTAGAGCGACAATATCTACGGCCGTCTTCAATATTCCATCTATCTATAGAATTGGTTACTAGCGATATGTATTTGACATATCTCCATAATACTTATGTGAAAATTCTATCTGAGGTAACCAAATGTACAGATAGATAGTATATTGAAACCAGCCGTAAATGAACAACAAATTGGTTAGGAGAGAACGTTTCAGATTACATTGTGTTTTGTTAATAGTAGATGTAACCTCCAAAGACACCTCTTTTTCTGCAACCACAGTTCCTTTTTGATATAACAGACGCAAGACGAAATATTAAAGAAACACCATTCGAAAAAAGTGGGAATAACCTAGGTATGTGTATGATATACCAAGGCCAATTGCACAGAGTGAATTTAATACTGCGTCCGGCGGGCATGCTTTATGAGATCAATAATTAGTCAATCGCGCTGTGGTCATTTAACATGTCTGCCCCGCCAGACAAAGGGAATTTTGATTTGTAACGTGCAAAGGGGTGCAAATTGGGGTTGCTGGCCGGCAAACAAGTTGGAACAAACAACACTGGATCAATTAGAAGCACTGTTTCGTCCTATTTAAGGTTTACCAGGTTTACTATGAATTCATCATTATTTATTTATGGATTACTTTGCATATGAAATCTGTGATGCACATAGCAAAACTTAAATTATATACTAAGTTAAAATTAGTTAAAACACAAGTAAAATATAATAAAATAAAGGTATTTAAACCAGTGTTGAACATTATTACATTGAATCATTGAATGTAGCTGCGTTTAGTTTGAGTTAGTCAATTAACTATTAATTACATTATGTTCTGAAAGATTATACATTTTACAAAGTTATATTATTATTATTTAATTATATTACCAATTTCTTTTTAATATTATTATCGATATAAGAATAAAAAATCTTAAATTTTTCAAGGCTAAGGTAACACCTCTCTATTCGATGTTCATTATAACCAGTGCGCAGTGGTATCGACGCACAGTGACCCGGACTCCCGACGATTCGCGAACATTTTAAAGATCCCTCTGGTGGTAAGCGCACCAAATTAACAACCCGACATAAACGCGAACGCCAACAAGCGTCGTCCGCGCAACGTCCTCATCCACCCGGTCGAAGAAGGGGATTTAAGTAAGCCGGACCACCGTCGGGGCTCATCAAACAACAACAAACACCATAGTTCGTACGGCACAACGCGGCGAAACCAACATAACTCGTACACTAGTTACACCCGCGTTCCAGGGCACGCATGAGTAGATGCGCGGCTCTACCCACTGAGGAGGGCCTCAAAGCCGTGGGTTCTGGCTAGCCCACCGGTTCTGCGTTCGATGAAGCTTTAATAGTCTAAGGACTAAAAGCGTAACATCAGTTATACAAAAAAAAAAACTTCATTCTAAATGTTATTGAAGTGTCGGCATACTACACAGTGGCCCACTAGGTCCCGCCAAGCATCGCTGAATATGCAAATAACGTAACATTGTCGTCAGTTGTCAGTTGTCGTTTAGGTGCGAGATCAGATGGTTAGGTTCGGAATCCTGCTAGCGCCAAAAAAGACTTTTTTTAGAGTATTTATCCATTTGAATTATATATCATGAGAGTTATAAAAGAAAAAAAAAATCATATGTTATAATAAAGATTCTGCTATTGCGATTTAAGTAAAACAACACAAAATAGATGTTAAAAAAATAAATGTTTTATGGGATTATTTTATAAAACGATTTCATTCGGAACATATAAACATTAATATTGGGTTTCTCAGAAATTACTCAATGCGTACCACAATAATGTAATATCGGGATATAATTATTTGATTAGACGGGTACATATTTGTCACGGTAAACTTTATGGTAAAAAAAATCTTAGTCTTAATCTTACTTTAAAGTAAAAAAAAAGATGGCCCGAGCATATGTGACGCCCTTCGGGAAGGCTAACTAAGTCCCTAACAGGATTTTCAGACGGTTCCAGCTTGGTGCAAAGGTCGTGCAGTTCTCCAAACCATGGAATATTCAACTGCTATCAACTGCACGCTGATGAATGCTGCTAACAGTGCAATTCTTGTGGCCAATTTGTGAGGCAATATCGTGTGTATATGTATTGCCATCGTCACAGAGATAAGAAGAAGAAGGAGATAGGAAAAAAATAAGCTTCATATCAGGAGAGTAGTATTCATTGTCTTCAGCAAGAGGAAGAAAGGCAGACGTCAGGGACTTTTATTTAGCTCCAAACGGTCAAGCGGTGTGTTTATAATATAGTTGAAGTATCATGTAAATGGTAAGGGGTAAATGCCACGGACATTCCTCTTGATAATTCCGCATCGTGTGCCAAGCATTTGCAGACTCTGTTAACATTCTATTGTTTAATAGGCCATTAAAGGGAAGTAGGCGTTGAATCTTTTATGCTTATGTAAAAAATCCCTTTTTAAGAGATAACAAAAGTCAAATGTATTTCTATTTATAGGCAGCATGAATCTGAAGAGTACCTAAACTATAAGAGTACTCTAAAGGTTTGCGATACTATTCGATCTATTTCACAACTAACATTTAGTTTGAACAACTAAAACCAATTGGTACTTCAATTTTCTACAAACAACATCTAATGAATCCAACACTTGATTATTCGAATGTTGCTGTTTATTTGAACAATATAATTTAAGCCCTTAGTTTGTGAGCTTTATTCACATAAAAGTTAAGGTATTATTTGCCTTCTAAACGTTTTAAAAGTTTACCTCTTATAAAATAACCAAAAAAAAAAGAGAATCAAATAACTACAAGACTATAAATATAAGGTATTATACTCTTTCTCTGCTTAATTGCTTCTAAGATTAGTTTTAATTTTATTAATATACGACTGAAATAGCAATTGCAAAAGGTAAATGCCCTTGCATTTTACTAGTACTTTTCGCAATTATGCCAGATGAAAAGATGGCAGACAAGGAAAGTGTTTAAGTGCACTCGGCGCCCAGTCGGTTGACAAAGTAAGTTGCTGTTAGCGACGCAGTAACAGACAAGCACTACGTGCGTATATTTGCGCAATTATCAACTCGGGAGTAGCATAATGCTCCTGTGCAATGGCGCCATATCGCGTCAAGCGTTTTAATAGAACTATTGACGTGAGTTGAGTGAGGTAAACTGTCTGATGACAAAAAATAATATTATCCATGATCTTGCTATTCTTTACAAGTAACGAATTATAGGTTATAGATCTAGGCGTCGACATAAACTTGACCTTATTACTACGAGGAGAATCCTAATGGATTAAGATAATTCAAATAGGCCTTTAGCAATGATGAGTAATCCATAATCTCGTGCACTAGTCTGTTGTTTCGACGCGTGGAGAAGAACAGCGCGGGGCTCGAAACTGAAACGGACTAGCGAATGTATCGCATAACCAGTGGTTGCAACGCTGCCCAAGGACCGCTGAGCCGCATTGCGGTCATCACTACTCGCCTGAGACATTCGCGTTTTGCGGTCAGCTCAGTAGGCCGACTGCCCTCGTATTGTAGTACACATGTTACTACGGACATGACGACTCAACACACACGTTGAAGATTTGATATCTTGTAAGTTATCTCTAATGACACGCACGCGGTTCCTAAATCAAATTGGAGTGACTCGGTATTTGATTTCGATGCGGCCAACCGTATTCAAATCGAGCAGCGATTCATTCGGGCTGCGCAAAATTCAACGAGCTGTGGCGCAACGTACTTTCCTGTCAACGGAAATCACCATTCCCACAACGAATGGTAGCACTGCACGATGTTTGCACTTGCACCGCACACTAGGTGAGAGCCAGTCGAAGACTTACTTCGATAAAACAACTTGATTCCACATAGTTCACTTTGCGCGGTCGGTCACTCATTGCCGCGGCTCGCCCGAGCACTCGTGTTCGTCCACGCCACGGCGGGCCGGCCACTCGGCAAATCGACGAGGGCAAATAGCGTTATCGATGACACTCCGAAGAAGGCCGCGCGCGAAGAGGTGCGGTATCGTCAAGATTAACACGATAACTAGTGTTATCTATTTATCGTTGTTCAAAATTTCGAACAACATTGTGGGGCCGCCCGTTGACCCGTGCCGCGACCCTCGCACACGCGAAGTGTGAAGTTTGGTCCACGAATGCTCCTTCGCGACAGTATACTGTCAAACCACTCACGCGAACTGCCATTTCCACCAACGCAGGCATTTAATTATGCGTCGGTAAAAAGTAACGGAGGCGATTAGATAACGGAAATTGTAAGGCAGCTGATAACCGACGTATTTCAAAGGCGACGTTCGTGGCATTTCGTGTGCTCATATCACGTAACCGCTTAAATACGTTTTCTGCGACAGCAGCTTGCGAAAGAGCCACGTGAAAAATCCGAAGCCGATAGAGAAAAAGGACAAATGATAGTTTTCGAACATAAAATATCAGCGGCGCCCCCTAATAGGTGTGGATCAAATAACACTCGGCTGCACACAACCGATCCCCTTTAATTGAAACATATTTAGTGGGAATCACGATGTTTATTTTGCCCCTCGCTTCGAGCCACAACACTGATCCATTGTATCGAGTCTACGATGAAGCAAATAAAAACATGGATGAGCTCTCGGCCAGACTCATAATACCTGACACAGAATTAATGTAGGAGAAGCTTGCTAAGGTGGCTGACGGAGAGTTTAGTTCTTGCCCTATCTAAAATACCGTACCGATAGCTCCAAATAGTGGTGCATACGGAAGAGTCAACACAGTTCGAATGGGTCGAGGGACCTGAATATCCAATGGCAGCAGTCTGCGCAGCAGCAGGCCGCGGTTCTCGGGCGAGGTACGTGGCGCATACCGCCACTCAGCAGCGCCGACTGGCGACGCGGGCGACCTATCGCGGGCCCGCCGAGATAACGAACGTTCGAGATAAAAGATGAGTAACGGGACAATACGAATAATCATTCCGTTACATGATAAGGCGAGATAAGGTCATTGTTTTACTAAGGCAATCCTTGCACGAATTCAATTTGGAGAATCCAATATATCGCCTTGCGCAATCATTGGAACGCATGGAGGTTATTTAGGTAATTAATTGGCAAACTGTCTTACCCGCTGAAGCCTCTGCGTTTTCCGGGACTTTGCGTAATGACGGAACCACTGGGTTCCGCGGCCGCTGCCTCTGCAACAATAAAATTACATTTATAACATATTAATACAAACTTACATGCTTATTACTGTATAAAAAAAATATGAATCCTTGTGATTATCATAATTTGTGAGTTTCGAATAGTCATTTTTGTAGGTAAAAATGCTTCAGAAACCTGCTTTTTATTTATCCTCACGCGGAAGAAAAAATACGTGAATATACTTTTATGCGTTAGTCAAACAGAGTTCACAAATAGAACATGTTTCGAGAGAGATTATAGAGACAATACCAGTTAACAATTACAGTAAAACTTTTATCTAACTCACGACTATTTTTTCTCCAAGCGTATTTCCCTACGTTATATACAATAATATTATGAATCAACCAACCTTTAAACACTGAATTTTGTCGTCTTAAGGTAAGTAAGGTGTAATAAATACAGGGATTAAAATTTATTAGTTTATCAATCCCGAGAATAGAATTCGTGACGAATCATTATTGATACGCAAATAGCTTCATTTTCAAATACATTGTGTCGTTAATTTGGTACGTATTAAGTAAAATAACCGACGCTTTAAAATTAACTCAAATATTCTTTTATAAAAGAAACGAATACGATAATTGGTATTAAAAACTGCAAAATGCAGGTATCACAATAAGCTTTTACCTTTTAAACGTAATGCCTAGTGCAGGGAAAAATCGTTGTCAAAGTTATTTTACCGCGAGCTGATCTAAATAAATCCTTTGAAACAGTAGAAAGAGCTGAGCTCAGTTTTATAATTTATTTAGTATCGCCTTTGTAATAATAGCGCGTAGCTGATTATAAAACTACGAAGACTAGAATGAGCCGTAGAATATTAAATCTAGTTTAATTATGATAGCACTTTAAACTTGCACAAGCCCTCATTGTTTGAGAAAGTAGTGTTTGCTAAAATGTGCAAGTGTCTACATCAACGTCGTTATTTATACAGTCGAATTTTGTCGCTTTACTGTTTTCATAATGCGAAGTAGCATGTGGAGGAGGTATAGTATATAGGGTACGTATGGCGACTTACCAAGAGCATAGTGCTTAATTGGAACAGGAATATATCGGTCCGTGCGTGTTTTGGGGTTGTTACATTTTGGGTCAAGAATGATAATAGAGAATATTATGACGGTCATATAAAACATTTTTCAAACGTAACTTGCTTATTTTTATTAGAACTGGATTTTTGAACTGATTAAATATTATGCCCGTTAAATCGATAATGTAGTGGATTGAATAAAGGAGCCACGCGATGCAACTGCAGAGCCCTATTATATTATTGGGGCCTCGGCGCGAGGATGTGTCAATCGGTCTCGAGATAGACCGGAATGAGGGGAGCGAGAGATTAGAGAGCCCGGCCTCTGACGCAATTACACGCATTCGCTGCCAGTCACCAAGCAAACGCTGCGCGAGTTCGGGCAACGAGTCCTCTGGAGAGGCATCAAGAAAGTAATGTTCCATAGTATTCATGATATTTTTATTGCGTCCATGAGTTTTGTGAAATACATACAAATGTTATGAAATAATACACCAATAGCTAGAGAGCATGCCAAAAGCAATAAAATTTCACAAACTGTTAAACTGCTTTAAAGGTGGCAAAGAGAGAGTGCTCGTAAATGGATGGACGAACTCTGGGCCGAGATACCTGTCAGTGGGAGCGTCTTGTGGCACCACGAGCACGGGAACATGTGAGCCACGCTTGGCGTCTACACGACGACTATGTAGGTACTGCACGACACTCCTCAGTTGCCGCCCTCGCGATCCACTCAGTCCGATTATTTTGAAAGCGCCACTCTCACAACGGTAATATAAAGACCGATAGAAAGACGGTAAAAAACTAGACATGAGTTTAGCATTGGCAACGCACGGAACTGTTTAAGGAATGCAGAGAAAAGTATCGGTACGAGCAGAGACTTTTGAGATTTACAATATAATCGGAGACCCAGTAGCGGTTGTTCCTATCCCCTCTGCATTTGCGTCTAAATCTGAAATCGATTCTGAATGCAGTTTGCAGATATCCGGCCTATATTGCGTAGATTATCCGTAAGAGAGAAATGTGATAAAGCGAATGCGCGATTAGTTTAAATGTTAGTCGATAATGAATAATATAAAAGCAATATTAATATATTTTAATTACTTCAAGAAACTACATGAGGAAATCCAGATATACCGATGTGCCTATTGATATACGGACGAAACATGTAGCTCGTGGTACACATTCCCGTGCGGCTGCTATGTCTCACCAAACTATGCACCCGGCACGTGTAAAGGTCAAGAGTAAAGATGCGCTACATAATTATATGACGTTAGCAACAAGATTATGCGTACAATGCAAGGAATCTACATGCACAAATTTTAGTTACACCAATAAAAATGTTCTTATTTGTTAGTGGGGGAAAGTTTGTTTTACCTTCAACGGACTTGATTCATTTTAATTTTCATCCCACTAACGGCTAAGCGAAGTCGTTAGGCATCATACGGAATGTTAACTCGCCAAAGTCTAGGATTTGCCTGGATAAAGGGCTGGAGAGGATGAGCGGTTTGACTTGTCACGGTACTACGGCAACACAAACAACCGCGACAAACAAAGCTTACAGCGGAAGGTCAGCAACACCGCATCGAGGCGAAAGCGGGGCGTTCGTCCGCATCCGAAATCTATTTGCAACAGATTGTTGTTCGTGCGAAGCTGCTTGGCGTACGGCCTAATAGTTATACTCTGCATTGCAAAAACAAATGGCGTTAAGGCTACAATTCGGCAAGTGGAATGTTTTCAACGTACGGCTCGCCACTACCGGGAATGGCGGTCTTGATGTTAATTGCTACGTAAGCAGTGGAAAGGTAGGGGGAAGGGGGTCTCGGACTAGTTTGAAGGTACAGTTTTGGGCGGCGAATGGCAGGCAACACTATCGGTATCACTTTCGAAGACATGAATACCATTATCAGTTTTGATTGTGATTAAATGTGTTTGCACGATAGGCCGACATATAATAAATAAAGAGCTCATGAATCCACTCTATATTAAATATGCCGGTTTAACCTGGCATGATTGTTGCGCTGAAGAGACTTTTGGCTTGTTAATCTGCTTGAACAGATATGGAACCCTTAGCAAACCACAAATTTTTAAAAGTTGCTGCATAATATATGAATCAAACCGTACGTCACCAGTAGAATTGGCGGTAAGTTCTAGGGCCATCGAGGAAATCTGGGTACGAAGATCAACAATGATGGAATAGAGTTCGGAGTGCGGCCGCGGTACGGGAAGCTGACAGATTTTGCATTCGAGTCACGTAGGTGTTGAGCCGCAGATTACTCACTGGACACAGGCGGCGCGCGGCGCTGTTTGGGTACGCGTCGGCCTAAGCACGCGTTAATTGCGCTAATGCTGGCGAGCCGTTAAGCGTATTTCTCCATTCAGCTAGTTATAACACGACGATTAGACTAACGGAAACAACTATTGTACAACGTGAACGGCATTAAGACACTATCACGTACGAAAACTAAGTGACACAGCATCATTTGTTATACACCCGAATTCAGCGCTGTATTCAACAAAAGGTCTGAAATGTCTTAGCGACAAATGATAACACGAATACAATCTGTAATGGTCCAGCCGGATAAATACTATTGGTAATTTCATCAGATCGGATTTACATAAATTCCGTTGTTGGCGAAGTTTTTATCAATCGTCCAATCGTCTA